TCAAACGATGCATATTGACGGGCTCACACATCCGGGCCCGCAAAGTAGATTCTTTTACACAAATCTCGAATTGAAGAGTCTACAATCCCTATGTACACTTGAGTTGCGGATTGCAGATTGAGAACCTCTTATCGACGCACAATGTTTAAAATAAAACATCACCTTAACAGCCTCTCACACACTCTACAATTACTAGCAAAGAACCATATGTACACCTTTGTACATCAAAGCCTCTACTCCTACGATCTTTCTTCGATACATCAACACCTCTACGGCCTAATTGTGCACTCCGATTCGGCGGCGTCTATTTCCGCGTCCAGCCAACCATATCGCTCATGTAGACCTCGATAGATAGCAGGCGTCAACATGTGGGGCGTCTTGAATTTGCCCCCGCTCTTTCCCGCGGCAATCTGCATCTCGATCCCGAGGCCCGCCCTGAGCACCTTTGCCACCGCATTCCGCTTCTGAGCCCACCTCTCGTTCAGTCTCCCATCGGCAGCTTTCGATGGCCTAGCGGTCTGCTGCGTGAAGCCGTAGAGGTTGAACATGCTCTTCAAACGCTTCTTGGTGGGCCCGATGAGCTCCGCATAGGCAGCCTGCATGCGCTCCTCCGACACCTCCCATTGCTCCAACTCGTGATCGAGCTCCTCCTCGCCGCACTCGAGAAGGAAGGCAAGGACGCGCACCGCAATTGGCACACGGCTGGCAGGGTCTTGAACTTGTTTCACGTACTCCTGGACCACGCCCGCCAACATGGCCGCTTCGAGCGCCGTGTCCAGGTCCCCAACGAGAACGGCGAAGCGGTGTTCACGGAACCTAGATGGGTCATAACAAGCATTGAGAAGCAGTGGACGGAAGCACGCGGGGAGGGGGCTGGATTGGCCGGCACTTCAAAGGAGATCAACCTCACAACACAGCTGAACGGTGATACCACAGCCCCTGGGACTACCGATGCCATGACAAAAACAGCAAAAACATCCGGACCCCACACCCTCAAAAACCGTCCCTCTGAGCGCCCTTCCTACCACGACCGGCACTGAATCCAAGGCCCACTGCAGCCAACCACAGACTATGACAAACCACCCTCAGCAACAGCTCGACCACGCCTTATCGCGGGCCAAAGCAGAACCAAAACCAACCTAGAGTCGCGCCAAACGTTCTAGGACTGCTGTCATTCGAAAAAGCGCAAAAGCGGGCCCATGATACACCCACAGCGAGACCTAGAAGCCACAGCAGGCCCGGAAGCAGCTTGAGATCCGGGTCACACCATCGCACCTCAAACAGATTGACTGCGGCTCTGGGGTTGACAAAGCTAGCCCGCAGGCCCACAACTCCGAAAGTTTTCGGGTGCGGCTTGAGACGAGGCGTTATTGGAACAAGGCATTTACCTGAGATAGTTCGCATGGGCGTCTCTTGTACGCTTTGCATCGTCCGAGTCGTCACAAAAGCGGAGGTAGAAGGCGTGATCAACCCGGTGAGGATCGACCTTGTACTCGTTCATGACCAGCTCGTACAAGTACTCCTGTAGCTGCTCCCTCGGAGTCAGGTTGTCGGGCCTTTCGCATAGGATCTCGTACTGCTCCGAGCTGATGATGTACTTGGCTCGCCAGTCTTCATCGTCCAAAAGCTCTGGGTCCGCGTCGAAGCCGAGAGGGACTTCCGAGAGCGGGCGCCCGGGGCTGCCCTGGAAGGAGAGGGTGGAAACACTACCCTAAGTTCCACAAGACCGCAAATCGTGCACCAGTTGCAGAGCGAGCATCGAAAGTGACTCCTCGGCCCACGAAAGGAGAGATTGCGCTGCAAAACGCTCATGCATGCTAGCTTCAACGGTTTCCTTCTACGGAACTTTGCGTAAACACCTGTCACCTTCAAGTTCCAAGTAAAAACCAAGGAGTGTTGAAAGCGTCACAGAGAGCATCTTGCAACATAGAGAGCAAGTCTTATAAATCCCGGTAGCTCGGCACCCTAACCTTTGGATCGATGTGTTCAACTGTCACCACGAACCCCTGACTTTCCAGGTCGGCCTTCAGCTTCGTCAGATACTCTAGATAGCTCTCCACCTTCTCGAGGATGTTGTTCGCGTACAACACGGAGCTCGCCGATGAGCAATCGCAGATGCCGCGCGCCCCCCTCAGATAGTGAAAGCCGGATGCGTCGCCAAGCATCTGAACGATCTGCTGATTGTCACGCTCGATGGCCTGGAAGACCGCCTCCGTCGAGCGCGGCAAGTCCACCGCAGACGACATCACCTGCTTATAGTAGATGGTCGAGTGAGTAACCGTTCGGAAGCGCGCATGCTGCTGAAGCAGCGTCTGGACAGGAGGGCCAGGGAGGCCGTTGAGGGTGAAAGCGACCGTCTCCTCAGCGTGCGGCTTCTCTTTCGAGACACCCGGGCCAAGCTTTGGAGAGAAGGCCACGAGATCAGCCTCCAAGTAGGTGTCTGGATCCGCCATGGCCTTCTGGAAGAACTCCTCGTCGACCTTCGACCTCTTGTCAGCGTGGAGGAAGATGCCATGTCGATGTCGATCGGACTCGGCGGGCGGGTTCTCGATCGTTGAAATCCTGCTCCAGCTGCTTCACGAAGCGCTTGCATGTCGAAGGGCACTGCACAATCGGAGTGAAGTTGTTTTCAGCAAAGAACGGTTGAATCATCGGACCCAAGGCCTTGCCGCAACCTAGAACACGTCCACCCAGCCCCCAGCGGGCCCCAAATTCGAGCTCACAGCTACTAACGGCCCTTTAAACCACCCAGTAGCGACCCAAATCCCACTTGACTAACCCCCAAGAAGAGCTGCTCTGAAACCAGGCCCATAGCTGATCTAAGAGGAGCAAGAAAGTACGCGTGTACCCAAGAAAAGTTAGCTCGATCACGGCCCTAGTACACTTCCACGAACCCCGTCAGTCTACTTGACTGCCGCTCGAAAACAGCCCCCGAAACCAGGCCCACAGCAGATCCGAAAACAAGCAAAGACCTCACGCGCGTACCGAGAAAAGTCAGCTCGACCGCGGCCCCAGCTTCAACATCAAGTAAGTCGAACGGGGCCCGCAAAAAGCCCCCAAACCAGGCTACATTAGATCCAAACGCACCCGTCTATTAGAGCTCTCGCCGACGGCCTTAATTCACACCCGCAGCCCCAACTTATCAGCTTAACCTCGCGTCAAAAGCAGCCCCCGAGAACAGGCCCACAACGGCCAGAAATCGAGCCTGCGAGCTTGAGCGCAAGCACGCGCCTGAAAACGGCCTGGCACAGTTTTAACTGAGGCAGCCACGGCCTTCATGATCGCACTGAAACCAGCTGTGAATACTGCACACATTTCATCAAAGTCGGCAACGAAGCTGGAAGCAGACCGAACCCAGGCGGCTCAGCTAGCTAGATCAGCCTGCCTTTTCAATGCTTGAGAATGTCCACATGCCTGGAGATAGAAGAACTCACCACGACCTTTGTGCCTCGAGCGACACGGTCCAGCACGTCCCGCACCGCGGTGCCGATGCACTCGCGAAGACCACTTCCCACCGGGAAGACCCGGATGGTGGCATGCCTCGAAGCTGGGTACAAGCCCCGGTTGCGAATGGCGTGCAAGTCTGCGTCCGGCCGCGCCATGAAGAGGTACTCCAAGACGCGTGCAGAGTCGATATTGGCGTCTAGGCCGATGACGACCCTTGCTCCCGCCACAAGTGCCTCCAGGCATGATAGCACCCTGCCCCGTTGGGTCATGACCTCGGAGTTGAGATTGGCAAGAACCATGTCCATCTCGTCTATTATCAGAACGTCCATCTTGAATTGCACGCGGTGGATGGAGTTGATGCAGCAGACGACACGGGGGGCGTTAATTGGACCCGGAGGCGCTTCCTGATAGAACACGACGTCCTTCACGCCTGCGTCGACCAAATCCTGGCGATACTTCTGGGAGAGCGAGATGTTGGCTCCGATTGAGCACAAGGAAAGCCCGGGATTCTTTTTAATCATGGCCACCTCCCAAGCCTTCAACTCCTTCGACTTCCCGACCCCTTTCTTGGCACGAGCCAAGATGGTTCGTTTGCCCACGTGCTGGAGCCGGAACACGGGGTAGGGTCGCATTCCGGAATCGTCCACGTAGTCCTCCGTCCAACCCAGCGTGCTGAGAACATCAAGAGGCAGCACCCGGCACTCGCCCCTGCAAAAGATGGATTGGGAGGCGCTCTTACCATGATACCAATCCAGTGGGGTGCAAAAAAGATGCTGCCACTCTCCTCTATGGGAGAGACTAACCGCCGCATCGCCCTCAATGATTGCATTGAACACAATCTGGCCCCGTCCCCTGATTACGGCCCACAAGTGGACTCGAAACAAGCCTCATTGTCTCAGCCAAGTGGGCCAGACCGCGCAATTTCATCAGGCCTGACATGAGCGGCATGAGTCTGACAATCTGCACCCCCGGTCTATACACTGAAGCTTTCCAACCGATGCAGATTGTCAGAGTCCAAAGTGAGGCTCAAGGAGCGCGGCGCGTGGGCCCTGACAATCTGCACCCCCGGTCTATACACCGAAGCTTTCCAACCGATGCAGATTGTCAGAGTCCAAAGTGAGACTCAAGGAGCGCGGCGCGTGGGCCCTGACAATTCGCACCCCCTGTCTATACACTGAAGCTTTCCAACCGTTGCAGATTGTCAGCGTCTAGCGAATGCAAAGCAATGCTCAAGGTTCACTACATGGGCACCTCACCTGCAGCTGTTGGCAAAGCACTGGTAGCGTGCGATGCGCGGCTCGTCCCGCTTGTAGATCAGGTACGGGTTCTGGTTGCCGGGTGACGTGTGACGCCTTCCTGCGATGCAGCACATGGGATCCGGCGCTTGGAAGTGGACGAAGAAGTCCCCCGGCCGCTCCTGCACCAGCCGGGTGATCTCGGCCCCTGCGTGGTCCTCCTGGTAGCAGGCGAGGAGGACGGCCCGCTCATGCTCGGAGAGGTCCCCGCCAGGCCCCCGTGAGGTGCTCGCCTCGTCGAAAGTGAGCGCTTGCGAACGGAAGGCCCCCACACGGGGAGGGGTGGGGGGGGCCGGCTTCGCGGTCGCCCACTCCCCCAAGAGGTCAGCACTGATCTCGATGGAACCGGCCAGCTCTGCCTCCGAGTAGAGACAGACCATGTGGTCCGCAATCGCCTCGGAGCTGCCCTCGGATGGAACTAGGGGACGGAAACGGTCCTCGAACTTGGAAGACCCCAGCAGCCGAAAACAGCGGTGCCGCCCGTAGACACCCCCGTCCCACATGTAAGCGGACCCGCCGTCCTTCCGCAGCAGCTCGACGCTTGACTTCAGGTCGTTCGGGGGTTTCTCCAAGAAGCTCCCGAAGGCCCTCCCGAACGCCCTCCTGGCATCCAGCCCCCTCAGGTAAAAGTCCGTGAGCACCTCGTGCACGCTGTACTTGAAGCCCTGCTTGGGGGGGCGCGCTTCACCGTGCGCCTCGCACGCCTGGAAGCGGAGCGCGTGTTCGAGCAAGTTCAACACCGAGGTCAGGAACCGGTCTCTGACCGAGTGGAAGGCCTGCAGCCTCCGCTCGAAATCGCCGGGGTCCTCAGCGGGGGCCGAGAAGTCCAGGTCGAAGTAGATGCGCCAGCACGCATCGTCCTGGATGACCTCGTACAGGTGCGCGTACGGCCCGAGGGACCTCCGATGCGCCACCAAGGCCGCAGCATCCTGAAAGCTGCCCCAGCGCTTCGCCCCAACGTCGTTCACGTCCTCCGCCACGAGAACCGCATGCCCGGCCGCCCGTTGCTGCCGAAGCGCGGCCTGGAGTTTCTTGCACCAGCCAGGCCCCTGTTCTGCTGCCGCAGCTTCGACCACCGGGGAGGGTTCTTCAGAGGCCGCTACGAGCGGCTCCGGGGGCCCGAGTGCGGAGGGCGACTGCCCGGTCGGCTGCTCCCGCTCCTGCTCAGCGGCAGAGGGCTGGCTTGCGTCCGCTGCAGGGAGCTGGTGCGGCGGGTCTGGCGCTTGTTGTTGGGTGGGAGGGGCGACGGTGGGGGGCTGACCGGGGACGACCTCGGGCAGTGCCTCTCCGATTTGGGGCAGAACTGTGACCAGGGGCTCCGGGGGCTGATCTTTCGGTGCTGTAACAACCTCCTCAACGAAGGGGGGAGAGGGGGGCTGATCGACCGGAGGCGCAGCGGGCACAGCGGGCGCAGCTGGCAACTGCTCCTCTTCCGCACCGAGGAACTCCAGGGGGGGCGCTGAGGGGGGCTGCTCACGGCTCAGGGCAGGGGATGTGTTTCGAGAAGGGGGGGCGTCGGGGGTGAGAAGGCCCGGGTCCTCGATGCTGCGGGGCAGGGACTCCGCCGCCTGGGGTGGCACACCGAGGGGTCGCGTCCGTTTGTAGCGCTTCAACCGCTCCTCGCGCGCGGCCGCCTTCTCAGCATCTCGCGTAGCTTGAACGCGGTCGACCAGGGCTCCAACGTTGGTGATGGGAGCGTCGGTCACGAGCGTCTGCACCAAGAAATGCACCGGGCTTGTCAGCTCTGCGCCATGACCTACATCATTACTTGAGTCCAACGGAAAGCACCCCCGGGGCTGAATGCGTCAATCTGCACCACCTATGCTATACAGAGTCTCTTAGAACCGTGCATATTGTCAGCTCGAAGCCATGACGTACAACATCACTTGGATCCTATGGAAAGCACCCGGCATGGTGCCTGACAATCTGCACTGCCTTGCTATACAACAGAGTTCACAAACCGTGCATATTGTCGACTCTATGCCATGACCCGCAACATTACTTTGGTCCGACAGGAAAGCACCCGGGATGGTTCTGGCAATTTGCACTAACATGCTATACAACAAGACTCTCAAAACGGTGCATATTGTCAACCCCACGCCATGACCTACAAGCGCCGTTGAGCTGATCAATCAGGCTAGCTTTGGGATGCGCCCCACGCAGGCAATGGTCGGACTTGTAGGAGCTTGTTGCGGACAACTCACCACGGGGGCTGCATCAAGCGGGCCTCCAAAATCACCGAGCTCGGTCTGGTGTACGGCCTGCCCATCGCGCTGCGTCGTGGGGTACCTCAACGCCTCCAGGGCTTGGCGGTGAGCTTCGACAGCTGCTCGAGCGGCCGCACGAGCAGCCTCGTCCAGTGGGAGAGGGGCCGGTCTTGCCCGTTTGCTGGAATACCAAAGAAAGAGGTCGGGTTCAGCACGGGGAGTACCCGCAGCACCAGTGATTGACGGCTCGATTCCTTGCCGCTTATGAAAATTGCTGAGGTGGGACAGTCTGATGGACCCCACTCGGACTAAGGGTTGCTCTTGCTATCAGCACCTATCAGACTAAGGGCTGCTCTGAAGCCCTCAGCACCCCTCAAGAAGCACCATCAGTGCGGGTCACCTGGCCTTAAAGGGAGAACAGCAATGATAAGCTGAACCGACGAGCTTACCGTTGCTTCTTCTGCGCGGGCCGACGGTCCCCTAGGGCCACCTTGCTCTGCCCGGCCCTCTGCAAATCGTCCGTGGCCATGGATGATTCTCCTTCGCCTCCCGGGATCTCCGCCTCCCTGGATCGAGCAGAAGGTCCGGATTTGAAATGCCTTACGATCTGGATGAATTCGTCTCCATGGAAACGTGCTTGACTACACTGGAAACATCTCATCATGAAGGGCAAAACTTCTTTCTAAAGATCCTCCTAGACAGGCATGTGAACTCACGACACAGCGTGTGGCATGTGAAACTTACTCTCTGCCATCACTAGGAGTTGCGGTAGAGCCCATTGGGTCTCCACTGGCGACTTCTAAGAGCTTCACAAGTCTCCTTCGAGTCACGGTCTTCCTCTCCGGACCTCCTCCTTGTGCTGGCATCTGCACAGCGGGCCTCTTCGTGCCCACACTCGAAGCGGACCCCTGCAATTGGCTCGTGCTGGCATCTCGTTCAGCCTCAGGGCCGTCTCTTGCCTGCGAATAGAAATGGCACAGAGTATGTTGGATATCGACTCAAATCCAGCCGCTCAAGATGTCAAAGAACAGCACGCAGTATCGTTAAAGGGCGTCTTTCGCTGTGGGTAAGGGTCTTTCGAATATGCGCACTGCATATGGCCATGTGTTCTGGAGAGGCGGGAAGAGCATGCTTCGTGACGCGTACGGTCGACTTTTCAGAACCTGTGTGGCCCTATCACAGCCCTGATCCAGAAAGTTCTTGATGGAAGCTGTCACCTGGACCTCAAGTTCTATACAGTGACTTCTATTCAAGCACAGACCGGAGCTGTTGGGCTTGACAATCTGCACCAACTGTCTATACATTCAAGTTCTCCACCGATGCATATTGTCATCTCGTCGGTCCCCATCTCTTACAAGAAGCAAAGGAGCGTCTGTCATGGGGCCTGACAATCTGCAACTCTTGACTATACATTGAAGTCTCTAATCGACGCAGATTGTCAGACCCCCTGCTCCATGAATTACACTGGATCTGAAGGAAGCGCGCGGCACGCGGGGGTGACAAGTTGCGCCTCCAGTCTAGACACAAGGAGTCTCTGACTGATGCAGATTGACACCCCGGACCCTCGAGTACAAGGAAGTGTCCGGCATGGGCCCGACAATTTGCACCTCCAGTCTATTCACAGGAGTCTCCAACCGATGCAGATTGACAGACCCCCAAGCAAGCCAGTGACTGCCCAGCTACAACCATACCACTTCCGCGCTATCAGTATGCCCTTCTCTGACATGACACAGCAGAGCCAAGGCCATCGGACACGTGAGCTCACCACACTGGAAGGGGGCGGGTCAGTGGCGGGGGTGTTCTTGCCAGCACTGAACGACGCCGCTGGTTCGTTCCGTTGTGCTGCGACGGACGTCTCTGCCCTTGCCGTCTGCTGCACAATGATGAGAGGACGAGAGTGGGCGACGGTTGAGAGAGCCCCACTTTGGAAGCACAGTCTACTTGCATGGATATCCACTAGCTCTCAGGAAAGTGCCGAATGGGTTGACAATATGCACCTCTCATCTGTACACAGAGGTCTCTGATCGATGCAAATTGTCAGACCCCGCGCCGTACAACAGGAGTGCCCGACCATGGGCCCGACAATCTGCACCTCTGGTCTATACACAGAATTCTCTAACCACTGCAAATTATCTGCTCCATGCATGTACGTCCGCACCACTTCGTTGCTCAAGATTGGTAAGGCCTTCTTTCAGACAGTAAAGCCTGAGCAATAGGATATGCACCCACCACGCTGGGCGGTGGAGAATCAGCGGTGGGGGTGCCTTCCTCGCCAGCAATGACTGACGCCGCTGGTTCGTGTTGGTGAGGTGTGACAGCCGTTCGCGCCATCTGCTGCAAGAACAAGAGTGTTCTCAGAGTTCCGGAACGAAATGATGAGCGATTGAGCTCAGGTGAGACTTGGATGTAGGCAACGGCTAAAGAAGTCCCAATTTGGGAGCACGGGCCTGCGAGCATGCAAGGGGAGTAGCTGCAGGACCAGACAAACCTGAGCGCAAGAGCTTACCTCCAAACCTGGAGCGCGGCGCGTTTGTCCACACGCTCTACTGTTGCCACGCAATCAGCCTGCACCAAACATATATGCCCATGAATGCATGTGGGATGTATCATTGAAGTTAGTTGCCAACAGATTTATAGATTGCTAACAGGCAACCGCTGCGGGGGCAGCCCCCACTTAGGAAAATCAGGGGCTAAGACCTCTGGCTCTAAAGGGCAGCCCTGGCGCTGATAAGGGGCAAGCCCCCTCCCCAATCCAACAGAAGCAAGCATTGCGCCCGGCTTTTGAGGGCAGCCTGGCGCTACAAGAGGGCAGCCCTCTCCCCTCAATTGAAGAAAGCCGGGGCTGCCCCTGATTCTCAAGAACAGCCCTGGTGATGCAGAGGGCAGCCCCCTCACAAAAGCAAGCAGAAGCTGTCTCCAACTTTGGAGATCAACCCAGCGCCCCTCTCTGTGTAAGATTACAAAGAACTGGAAGCATCCACTGCAAAGCACAAAACACAGGTCCTCAGGAAGTCAGAAGAGATGAAGAAAGTCGCTCTTACCTGAGCATGTCCGCGCGCGTGCGTGCACCAAGCGCTGAAGACAGTTTGCCAGCTTCTGAGCTCGCTCAAGAGCTCCCTCCAGGATTGGACTTTCTGTAGTTCTGAGAAATGAAGTTGAAGACCATGGCAAGCCACCAAGGCAAGCTGAATCAGGTGCCCAATGGTGCCAGTGAGCGCCATTGGGTGCCCGCGCCAGCTGTGCTGAGTCGGCCATCTGGCAAGCTGAGTCAGCAATCTGGCAAGCTGAGTAAGGTGCCCAATGGTGCCGGTGAGCGCCATTGGGTGCCGGCGCCAGCTGTGCCGAGTCAACAAAATGCTGACTCAGCAAGAACTTTCTTCCTCCTTCTAGAATGTCTGTGAAGTTCCAGGCAGGGTCCAAACCTGCCGCAAAGTGCCAGATCACGCCAGCGCCACCTCTGACTACTTAGCAACCTGGCTGACCTGAAATTTCGAGTCAGCTATGGACCTCCTGAGAAGCAAGCTACAGGAGACAAGTCAGGAGAGAAGGCGGCATTGCAATCAGCTTTCTAAAACAGAAACGCCTTTTGGAGAACGCACTGGTGATATGCAGCAGTGTCCCTGATTCATGAGCGAGAAAGATAGCGAGATGGGCAGCTAGAATGAGACCGCTGGCAACTAGCGTGGGTAGCTCAAATGCAGCCCAACTCCAAGTGAGCGGGAATGGCTGAGGGGAAAATGGTAACGGCTGCCGTGGCCTTATAGTGCATAGGCTATGCAGGAAGTGGTGAGGCGGACCGCCAGGCTTTGGAATGGCTGGGGGACAGAGCAAAACCATTTCGATACCGTCGGATCGGCAACGTCAACAATTGGACGTCTCATATTTGTTGTTATCCTACGGTTGTGAGGGGGTTTGATTCAAACCAGAGCTGTAACCTCGTCCTTATATTATCTAACTTGCCGGGCCTAAGCTTTGCAGACTGAAGTTGTAAAGTGCAGATCGGACGGCTGCGAAATCATTCTGACCATCTTGGAACTTCGGCGAATGATCCGCCTGGTAACTTAGTAAGGTCGCGCCAACTGGCCTGCGCGCCCTGCAGAATGGCTCAAGAGCCAAACGGGGTGGGGGCGGAACGCCGTACCTGGGACCAGCGATTGTTGCTCAAAGCTGAGAACTGCAAGCGCCCTACGTGCTAGCGCCAGAAGACGCAATGGACACACAGGCCATGGAAGTCTCGCCTGAGCGAGCAGAGCGCGTGAGGAGGGCAGAGTGCTTGCCCAGCCTAAGACGCTTCCACGTAAGGGCGCTCAGCAAACTGGTGGCAGAGTCAAAGGAGGACATCCTGAGCCTGGCGCTGATCGCGGACAATCTCCGAAGATTCCTGCCCCCGGGAGTTACTTTGGAAGAGGTGGTCGAAAGTCTGGAGATGAGCGTGGAGGACGCCTGCTTGGCAGTGGAGTCGACAGAAGACATGATCAATGACAAGAAGGTGGAGTATGTTCTGAAGGCCGCAGCAGAGGGGAGGCTGGCCATTGAAGAGCAGGTCGCAATGTTCCGCATGCTGCAGCGCATCACCGTCCCACTTGAGAACCCATGCAAAGGCATGGACTTCACGCACCTTTTCTGCCCTGCTGACAAGCTTCTCAAGGCGGGCCAGCCCCTCATTGATTGGCAGCATGCACGCGAGAGACCAAGGAAGAAGGCTATGCCTCCTCCCCGGCCATCAGAGCTTCTTCCCCTCCTAAATCTCCTCAGCCGGACTCCACATGCAGATCTGATAGGGGCATCCAGGCAGGCTCTGGCGCAGTACACCACATTCAGCGAGGCGTTCGATAGGTAAGGACCAAAACCGGTACGCAATGTCAACATCTTTACTTTGCTGCCGCCAGATACTTCAACCACTCTCTGCTTAGAAGAGGTTTCCATTGTTCAGTTGCCGACCCAGTATTCTTAGCATTGCGCTGCCCAGGGCGGTTTTCACGCAAAAGGAATGCAGATCCCAACGAGCTGAGCAGCCATTGAAAGTTAGTGCAAGCTGACCGCGTCTAGTCTGTTTTCTGCATTACACTCTCTTGTATGCGCTGATTGGGACCTACACTAATCTGAGAAGCAGCTAATCCGCGCATGTCAAAGCAGGACCTCTGTTGGCATTATGTTTGTGCATTCACAGATGCATCCATGTCTGTCTCCATCTCACCACAGGAGGTAACGAAGGAGAAAATGGAAGTGACAGGTCATGGCAGGGCGCTCCTGTGCGTCAAGCACTGTCACTCACTTTATGTTGCCACAATCCCTCATGCTCCTTCATTCTTTCTCCAGCTTTCTGCTCAACTGGCCAGCCGTCAACAAGTGCCTCGACCCGCCGCTGGTTGTCTGCGAGGGGCCCACCCGCGCGCAAATTCTGGCAGCCGTGAGCACGCAGCCTGCGCTCCTGAACGGGCAGCAGCCCGTCTTCCTGACCAATGCTAACGGTGCTGCGTCGAGTGTCATTTTGACGGGGTTCGCCAATAGGGGTGAGGCCAACGCGGCCGTGTGGTCTTTGCGCTCGTTGTTCCGCCTTCCAGCAGCGGTTGGCGGGGCAATGGGAGATTCTGCCGACCCAGATGCTCCAGACGCCTTGATCTGGGTTATGAACGTCGCTGGAAACATTGGGTCTCACTAGTTAGCCCTACAGTCCGCAAGTGGGGCGTTGGGCTGCTCAGCTTTCACGGTTTCTCAATCTTCTCAAAGAATTCAGCTAGATTTGGAGCTGCAGTCAGAGTCCTTCCAGTCATGTTCAAGGTGTAGCGTCATAGAGGCGGACTTGGCCGTGGCCAGCATGTGCCCGTCAGAAGCAAGGCATGCAGACTTGATGAGCCAGAGGACGAAGAAGGCAACTTTCTTTGCCAAAAGTAATCACGAGACGTCCGGCACGGCTTGGTTCTGGCTCGGCTGCTTGTCTGTTCTCCATCATCCACATAAGGCTTTCCTTGCATCACACATTGTTCCACTATTTCTATCAGCCTTTGCATGTGCATATTGCGGAACACTCGGCTTCGAACCAAACTCTTCATCGTATGCTGTTAGGTTTGCATACACAAGAATTCTCCACATGAAATGCACGCAAGATTGCTGCACATTGAGCAGGTCTGACCTCACACTGTCAACCATGTAATCGTTCTCGATGATGCATGGTAACCTGATAGGTTACATAGTCTTTTCAAGCGCAGCAGCCACTCGGCAACAGGCCGGATTAAGTATAATATACATGTATTGAGTCAATTTAGGCCCAGACTTCGAAACATGCATATTGGCGGGGGGTTGAAAAGTACTCGGGATGGCCCCGTCAATCTGCACCACGTGGTATACAAAGAAGACTTTCAAACTGTGCATATTGACGGCCCCACACCATGGTCACATCCTGTTATAAGCCCTTTTAGCAACATGTGCCATGGGGCGGCGCACTGGTGAGACCGGGATACAACTTTGACACCGCAGCTTATGTGCTGCATGTCACGTCCAAGTTCTGACACTACAGCTTTCTACGACTGTATGCCAATGTCCGATGGAATTTAGGATGGAACGCCTATGCGAGAAAAGCTAGGCAATGATGGAAAACCACACGCTATGCAATTCCTAGGAGGCTACGACAGAAGGATGGCCGATGTCCTGGCACCTACACTGACCGCTAGGGCACCATCAAATATAAATTCACTCGGTGGCTCAAAGAAGTACTCGGCATGGTCTTGACAAATTGCACCACCATGCTATACAATGAAGTCTTCCGAACTGTGCATATTGACGGCTTCATGCCATCAACTATAACACCACACACGCGCTTGAAAAGTTCTCGGCATGGTCTTGACAATTTGCACCACCGTGCTTTACAATGAAGTCTGCCAAGCTGTCCATATTGACAGGCTAGCTGTAAGGCAGAAGCAACGCATGCCTAGCTAAAGGTCACGGGGGGGGCAACTATGGCTTCTTCTTCTACCGCAATGGTCAACGTACTATGAGACAGAGGCTCTACACAAAATGCTCTGAGATCGATGAAAGCCTATAACCACTACAATCAAAATTATGTAGATTGTGAGATGCCAATCGAATCCTCCTATCTCAAGCACCTATCCTACAATAAATCATCACCTTCGCGGCCTGATGATGCACTCCGGTTCGGGAGCGGCCACTTTCGGGCTAAGCGGACCGTATCGCTGATGGAGATCGTGATAGATAGTCGGCGTCAACAGGTGGGGCGTTTTGAATTTGCCCCCGCTCTTTTCGGCGGCCATCTGTAGCTCGATCCCAAAGCCCGCCCTCAGCATGTTCGCCACCGCATTCCGCTTCTTGGCCTTGCCCTCGCTCACTCTCCCATCGGCGGCTTTCGATGGCCTTGAGGTCTGCTGCGTGAAGCCGAAAATGCTGAAGATGCTCTTCAAGCGCTCCTTGGTGGGCCCGATGAGCTCAGCATAGGCCGCCTGCATGTCACCTCCCACTGCTCCGACTCGTGATCCAGCTCCGCCTCCTTGCAATCAACGAGGAAGGCAAGGAAGCGTGCCGCGATCGGCACACGGCTGGCAGGATCTTGGACTGCTCGGACGTACTCCTGGACCACGCCATCCTCGTACCGCTGCGCTACGTCCAGGTCCCCGACGAGGGCCTCGAGCGGTGTTCACGGAACCTGCAGGTTGCAATGAGCGTCAAGAAGCAGTGGAAGGAATGATGGGGCCCTAAAACCAGCCTGACTCTTCATTCACAACACAAGTGAACGGTGGGGGCAGGCCCAAGACCGGCGCGCCCCCGTGACAAACCCTATCACGAAGTTGAGAGCAGGTCTCCGAATCAGACTAACCCCAAACGGAGCCTAAAACAAGCATGAAGGTGCACCGGAACCCAAAGTCCACAGCCGCCAACCCAAGAGCATGCTTGATCACGCCCCAAATCAGCTCGACACACCAAAAACAGTCTGGTTGCGGCCCCAAGGCGGAACTGACAACCAGCCCAATCGCGGCCAAGACATTCTTGACTGCTACCCCTTGAACAACCGCGAAAGCAGGCCCGTACCGTAGCCACAGCAAGACCCACATTAGGCCCTAATTCAGCTTGAGGTTGGCCGCAGTATTGGCGCACACCTTACAGATTCATGGCAATTCTCGAACAAACAAAGCCAGCTAGCGAGACGAAAGGCGGGCCAGCATCTTCGAAAGGCTTTCCATTCTGACCTGAGGCAAGGCGTGCAAGGAACAAAGTAATCACCTCAGATAGTTGGCGTGGGCCTCCTTTGTACCATTCGCTTCGTTTAAGTCGGCGCAGAAGCGCAGGTAGAAGTCGTGATCGACTCGGCCGGGGTCGACCTTGTACTCCTCCCTGACCATCGCGTACGAGTACTCCTGCAGCTGCTCCCTCGGGCTCAGGTTCTCGGGCCTCGCGATTAGAACCTCGTACCGCTCCGGGGTGATGATGTACTTTGCTCGCCAGTCTTCGTCGTCGAGAAGCTCCGGGTCCGCATAGAAGCCGAGAGGAACCTCTGGGGGCGGCCGCCTTGGGGTGCCCTGAAGAGGAAAGGGTGGAGAGACGAATCATTCCCAAGTACAAACGAAAATTCGAGCAATGATTGTAGAGCAAGCATCGAAGGTGACTCTAACCCACAGAGAGAGAGGTTGTGCCGCAAACTGCTCAGCTCCGGTGGCTTCAAGACTTCGCCCTCGCAATAGTGACAATCATTATGTCGACTTCGAGTGGAAACGACGTGTGCTAGGGGGGTCAAAGTGCCCTGCAAAGAAGATGGAGAGCGGGTCTTGGAGTGCCAGACCTAGTAACTCGGCAACAGGTCGAACCTTTGGATTGATGGGTTCGACTGTCACCACAAAACCCTGCTTTTCCAGGTCGGCCTTCAGCTTCGGCACATACTCCAGATAGCTCTCCACCTTGGCCAGGATGTTGTTCGCATACAAGACTGAGCTCGCTGATGAGGGATCGCAGATGCCATGCGAACCCCTCAGGAAGTGGAAGCCTGAGGCGTCGCCGAGTATTTGGACAATCTGCCTGTCGTCGCGCTCGATCGCCTGGAACACCGCCTCCGTCGAGCGCGGCAGGTCCACCGCGGACGCCACCACCTGCTTGTAGTAGATGGTGGAATGAGTGACCGTTCGGAAGCGCGCATGCTGCTGAAGCAGCGTCTCGACAGGAGGCCCTGACAGGAGGTTGAGGGCGAAAGCAACGGTTTCTTGGGCGTGCGGCTTCTCTTTCGGGACGCCTGGGCCAAGCTTTGGAGAGAAGGCCACGAGATCCGCCTCCAAGTAGGTGTCTGGATCGGCCATCGCCTTCGAAAAGAACTCTTCGTCCCCTTTCGACCTCTTGTCGGCGTGCAAAAAGATGCTGCGTCGATCAGAATCGGCGGGCGGGTTCTCGACGTCGAAGTCTTGCTCCAGGTATTTCACGAGGCGCTTGGAGGTCGAAGGGCATTGCGCAAGAGACCAGGAGCGGCAGATTTCTTAGCGTTCAGATTGCAAAGGGCCAAAGAGTACCGGGTATTTGGAACCGATTCTTTACAGGCCCTTCGCGACCGGAGGAAAGTGCTCAACGACGCCAGAAATTAGAGGCTGACGATGATCTGGCAGACCGTGAAACGTGATCGCCCAAAGCTGACTGGTCGCACCATTCATGGAGCTCGATTAGGTCGCCAAACAGCCCTGTTCGTGACCCCAAAGCAAAGCTCAAAAACCCTGGTTCACTTTGACCGCGACTTCAAAACCAGTCCTGCAAAACGGCCCATGATTGACCGCGCACGCAACAGATGCGCACCACCTCACCGCAAGTCAGTAAACCAACATTGACAGCGGTTCCCAAATGGCCACAAAACCAAGCCTTCCGCAAAACTGGGACCAGCCTGACTGAATGCGCCGAAAAGTGTTCAGTAGCACCAAAACAGTTTGACCAGGCTGCAAATCAGCCCGTTTGCGGGGTTGTAAACCAGGCAAGCACTGCGACAAGGCAGCCCCCAATTAGAAAGAGCAGGGGCTGCACCTCAATTTCTAAGGGCAGCCCTGGCGCTGTGAGAGGGCAGCCCCTTCCTTCCCATGAAAGAAAGCAGGGGCTGCCCCCAATCTTTAAGGGCAGCCTTGATGCTGGGAGGGGGCAGCCCCCTTCAACAGAACAAACTGGGGCTGCCCCCGACTTTGGAGATCAGCCAAGTGTCCTCTCTTTGAGGCTAGGAAGCATTCATTTTGAAGCACATAGCACAGGCCCTCGGCATTGGCAGAAAGTATGAGAAGAAAGTCGCCCTTACCTGAGCATGTCCACGCGACTGCATGCACCGAGCGCTGGACACAGAATGCCAGCTTCTGAGTTTGGTCCAGAGCTCCCTCCAGATTTGGGCCCTTGCTTCTCATGAGAAATGAAGAGGAACACCCTGGCAACCCATTAAATCAAGCTCAGAATGCTGCCAGAGGGTGCCAGAGAGCGCCATTGGTTGCCGGCGCCAGCTGTGCTGAGTCATCAGGTTGCTGACTCAGCAAGAATCTTCTTGCTCCTTCTAGAAAACTCGAACTCGGTGGACTCGGTGGACGTCCAGGCCGCTTCAAGATCTGCCGCAAAGTGCCAGACCTTGCCAGCGCCACCTCTGACTAGTAACCTGTGGTTGACCTGTGGTTTGATTTTCAAGTCAGCTCTGGAACCCTTTCAGAAGCAAGTTACAGGAGACAAGACAGGAGACAAGGCAGCATTGCAGGGCAGCATTTTCAAGACACGGAAATGCCTCAGAAGAGCAATGGTGTTTTCCTGATTCATGAGGCGACGCAGATCTGATGCAGTGATGGCCGGGCAGCTAGAACCGTAACGAGACCGCTGGCAAACTAGTGTTGGTAGCTCAAAATACCCAGCCCAATCAGAGTGAGTGGGAACGGTTGATATGAAGATGGTAACGGCTGCCATGGCCTTACGGCGCATAGGCTATGCGGAAAGTGCACTGCCCGGGGCTGGGTTGGGTGGAAATGCAAGGTCGCGCCAACTGATGTAGTGGGGGGGCAGCGGGGCCGAGGCGCCGGCTACACCACTGAACCTAGGAAGTAGTTTTGTGAACCAAGGGCACATCGGCCAGAGTAGCGCCCTGCAATCTGAAAGCATGGTCTCATTTCGCGACCGACCGTTTTACCGGTACGGCATTTACAAGGTTTTCGAGCACGAAGTATTTCGATTACCTACCGAATGAGAGGCAATCCTGACTTATGTGTTCGTAGCGTTAAATGGCTGCACAACCTAAGCTGACGAGATACACCTATCATGCAGAATCTTCATGATAAGTTCTCACTTAGGCTAGTCTTCTGCCCAAAGTCCTACATCTTGGCTAAATGTCTAGATACGGATATCTATACACAGCTTCGCGAGCACCATTAAAAACCCCTCGAGGGTCCCTTGGCTTTTTAGAATGGGCCCGCCTTTTTCCGAGGGGGAAAAAAGGTATACTCGCGGCAGCTTCGATGTAGGACAATGGAGAAGACCCGAGGTGCGCCTTGATCTGCAGGGAGAGAAAGATAACACCACAGTACCATAACAATAGTGGGTTTATCGTTGATGAAACGATCACGTTTCTCAGGAGATACAAAATTGTGTGTGTCTGTTTCAGTTTGATTGAAGGCATGTATTTCGTTTTTGTACCGCCGCTAAGAGAAACGGGCGTAGATGTTTATCAAAAACCAACGGTACCGATTTATGCCAATCATAGAACTGTTTTCCTAGAAGAGTGGCAGTTTGTTGTTGCGAATTGGACGAAATAAAACGATGCCAACACACAGGATAGGATTTAGAGAGAAGTTCAATTTTTATGTTTTGCGAAAATTATCGACAGCATCGACATGACGAATGTCAGTGTAAGCCGGGCATTGCAAGAGGAAATGAAATTCATCCTCATGTTGTGAGGAAGACTTGCACACTTTGCATGCTTTATTGATGTCGAATGTTGTAACTTGCGGCGTGGATGCATGAATATTGATGATTTGCGGTCGAGATGTGCGGTCAGTATGAGCCAAACGAGCTTGCAAACCAAAAGAGCGCGAGCGTAGATAGACGAGAATCGGGTGCCCGACAAATCAGAATCCGAGGCCAATTAAAACGAGTTGTTTCTGCGTTAATTTAGGAGTTTAGTTTGTTGATGACGCAGGTACAACAGATGACGCTATTGTAGATGCAGAGTGACGTAGACTGGCGGCCTTAACAATAACGGCTACTGAGAAACGGGGGCTCGGCGAATCACAATCGACCAATAGAAAGGAGTCTTTTCGCCGTTAATCAGAGTCGATATTGATGATGACGCAGATGACGCCGACAGCAAACTTTCGTTTTTAATGCTCCGTTTGTATGACGCAGGCAGTGATGCGGGCAGTCTTTCAATCTGACAAGTGGCTCCGTTTGTGTGACGCAGAACGTGATGCAGGAAGGAACAAAAGTGAAAAGGGCCGTGCAATGTCGAGGCGCAGAATGCGTTACTTGTTCCGATAGAATATTCAACCAGTATTCGCTGATGAGTGCACAGCGCAGAATGATGCAGCAGGTCAGAATCGTGTAGTCCGTACCGAGGAGAGTGACGCAGGCAGTGGGGGTCCGACCAATTAAAAACCTCGCTAAATAAAGTGGGAACGCCAAGTTGCCAGACACGATTACTCTGTCGCTCACTATATTGAAGTTCCGACACAGGGTGACGCAGATATTTATTGAATGTTGAGCTCACGAAGTTCGACCAATGAAAATTGAGCGCGACTTACAGGAACGATTGTGCTGTGCAGCTACATAAAGCGGCGAAGCCCAGGGTGACGCAGTTCCAACCGGGGGCGAGGTTGTCCCTGATGGCACAATGATGAAGGGGCCGGGCGAGGATGACGCAGGTTGGGCCACGACTTCGCACACCGAAAAGGCTGTCGACCAATCGAAAACCGACATTCAGGCTCAAGCTCCCGGAGCGAAGGGAAAGAGCCCGTTCAGAATTTTAGCGTTGAAAACTCGGCCGCAGAAAGATGAAAATGTGTGAACTGCGTTTATAATGATGATCAGATTAACTGGTATTTGCAGCGTGGCTAACGTGGCTTAAACTCCCGGTGTGAAGGGAAAAAGCCCGTTGAAAGTATCGGTGTTGAGAATTACACTAAGGGATCAGAATATAATCCCAATATAATAGCGTTTGCAAGTGGTTGGATTTGGACGGTTAATTGCTTTGTTTGTCCAACGTGGCTCAAGCTCCCGGTGTAAGGGGAAAGAGTCCGTTTGAGATTTGCGTCGAGAATATGACAATAAGATCAGAATATAACGGTGCTCAAGCTCCCGGTGCAAAGGGAAAGAGCCCGTTCAGGATTTCAGCGTTGAGAAATTTTTAGAGAGATCAGAATATAACGTGGCTCAAGCTCCCGGTGTAAAGGGAAAGAGCCCGTTTTAGATTTTACTTTGGTAATAACGCAAAAATTTAATCTGTTTTTACTGGAAAAAAAGTGACAGGATGATGCAGGCAAAATCTGATGATGCAGGCAATCCGTGAGGGTGGGGTCTTATCTGGGGCAAAAGCAACTGAGGCCGCGTGTGTCGATCAACCAATGACCAGTGGCAAACCGGAATCAAGTGGTGCAAAGTGATGCAGAATGATGCAGACAGAATCTACTCCTGAACCCTAACTAAAAAGATGCTAACCAAGGCAAGATAAAATGGCGTGCCTAGCAAATGCCACCCAAGAAAACTAACCAATGTGCGTTGACATGTAACTAACCCTAAACACTATCAATTTGATGATGCAGCAGATGATGCAGTATGAATCTGACACAAGTGACCAGCAATGATGCCTCTGCAAAAGGATGATGCAGGCAGGTGGGAGGGTTCCTACTTGGTGGGGTGGCCGCAAGAATGTCTGCCCACAGCAACACAGCACCCCCCCTCCAGAGACAGCACTCCCCCTTCCTCGCTCCAGCCTCCAGGGGGTGTATGTACACCAGATTGTTCCTCTCTGCTTGGCTCCAGCACCCCCCAACAAACTCCCCGCTTGTTAGGGGGGGCCGCAAAGGTCTTCCCAGCCTCACAGATACTCTCTTCAGGCACAGCACAGGTTCCCCCCACTCCCCAGGGGGATTGTATTATAAACTAAACACCTCCTCACTCAGGGCTCCCTTCACCCCCGGGTAAGCTCCTGCACTGCACTGCATTGCTGCTTGAATTCTCAAAAGGTGTTCGATCAGATTATACAATGAGCTCCCAATGAGCTAAAGGCGTTCACGGCTCGAGCGCCACATATCAGTGCAGGCCCGCGGCCAGCCTCGCCCGGCCGCGTAAGCCGGCCGCCCGGCCGGCGCCCGCCGTGAGCGGCAAGCCCGGGTTTGGGGGTTTCGTTTCCTGCCTCGATTTCAAGTTTGGGCGGGGCAGCGCGGCCGCGCCCATCATCGCATGATCGGCCCGGCTGCGCCGGCCGTACCGTCTCTCGATGGGCCGCCTTCAATGGCAGCCACGTCGGAATGTGGCCTTGTTGAGGAACAAAATCCTGTATCAACGATGGCGCTTGAAAGCGCCCTCCAACGCTACATACCAGACAGTATGCTCCTAGCGGTCCCTCTTGCCAAAACTGGTGGCTTGCAGTCGCAGCCATCAAGCGCAGTTCGAAGCAGATGCGTTCCCAAGCAATCCAACGTCTCTGCGACAAGAAGCGGGACAGTGTCCATCGGAAGCTGGCGGCAATCCCTACCAAGCTTGGTACCTGCATTGCACAATTTGAAAGTGAAAGGGAATGCAGCTACTTGCAGGCAGCTTCAAAGGAGAGTTCTTCTTTCTACAGGAGCTTTAAAAGTCAATGCTACACATGACCCGCTGGGCGCCCCAGTGAACATTGGCCAGATTGGCCCCCGTACTTGTTCTTCAGGTGATTTCGTAGCTTTTGAAGCATCATATGCGGCCTCAGGCTTTCTACGGTCTCAGAGAAAGGGCCCTCCCTTCCACGCTTTTGGCCTCAAGCAAAGGACCTTGTCAGCCGCACTGGCGAACGACAGCATTGTCCATCTTGACAGGCCGTTGTCAGATTTTAGTCAGCAGAGATTTGAGCAATTCTTGCTGGACCTCCAGCGCCGGATTTGTGATGAGGCGGAAGCAGCGGACGGGAGCGGTGCGAAATTCTGCGAGGACAAGTGGTCGAGGGGGGATGATCCTAAGGCTGGGTGAGAGCCCCAGCTGAAGTGATGAATGTGAGTTCTTGAGCAGACTTTCATTTCCGTTTGCAGGGGTTTGAGTGGTTCTATGGAAAAGCAGACCTTTGCACCGCAGTGTTGAAAGTTGTTGGCGGAGTGGTGTTGGTAGGCAATGACGAGAACAGACAAGCTCGACCAGAATCTTTGGACAATGGGACGACAGCAATCTTTGTTTGAAGTCTTTGCTATCCGGATAGTCTTGTACTTTCCCTTCAAAGTACGATTGTTGTTCTCTCTGATTAACAAAACATTTCAACCTTGTACAGTGTCAGATGCCTTTGCCCATGCTCTCTTGTCGGACGTGGAAAGACTAAAGGACTGCGGGAAAGAGTGATGTGTACTTTGTCCTGGGCTGATTTGACTTCTAGAGCAAACTGTGTATCGGCGATTTCACTCCAGCTCACTTGGATAGCCCCCTGTCAATAGATGCTGACAATCGACTGGATAGTAATGTACCTTCTGTTTGTATCTTGCCTCAACCCTTGCAAGAATCATGTCTGTGCAGCTATGGTATCACGCGTGTCCTGGAGGGGGGCGCTCTCTTGGAGAAAGCCGCCGCGAATGTGTCCATTGTCCGAGGGACTCTGTCAGAGGCAAGAGCAAAGGTGCGCTACTGAATATGTTTGGACTCACAAGAACTGGACTATGGTGCGCTACCGATGAAGACTCAAAGGAACTGGACTGCAGGTCCTTGGGGTGATTGAAACAACCACAAGCAATCAGTGCTAGCCTAAACATGGCCATTGAGGGGCATCTTTCTGATCTTGTCCTGCTTGGGTCACAAAAAAGTCCAGTAACAAGTACTGAAACCGATTACATTCAGGAAGACTTGTTGCCCTCCAGGCATCAACCAAATAGATCGTGAAGCGGGTCAGCTTGTACCGCTTCTTCGGTTTGGCGACCACTAAATTCTTCCCACCGTTGACCTGATTGTTGCAGTCAGTTGCCCTGGGACATCGCCACAGATCTATAAGCATTGGGATCATGCAGGAATGAACTTCTGGCTTTCCAGTCCTCTGTTACAGAGCCAGTGTCTCCTCCCTTTCCTCCAACTCCGACAATCCGCCCAAAGCGCCGTGTTGCTGTCAGTAGGCCTCTGCTCTTTAACTTTCTGATGAAGTGGCCGTAGCGAAGGGACATCACATCGGGAGCTAGCTACGGCAGCTTTCACATAGTTGGCACCCGAAAGTAAGGTATGTTGACCCATGGGCAAACAAAAGTCTTTCTCTCTTACGTCGCCTTCCTTGCACAATTTTCTTCTCCTCAAAAGCGACAGAAAATTGCTTTCTACCCTTTTCTTTCCTTGACGTATCCTGCTTCACACCTTCCGAATGCAGGCTATGTCTGGCAGGGGGCAAGTCGGAGCAGTGGCGGGAGCCCCTTACTTTGCGGGCGCCCTCTCCCTGGTGTTCCACTCCGCCAGCCCGATGGTCCCCACCTTCCGCTCCGACATTCGATACTTCGAAATCGAGGGGCAGCCAGGCTGGTTTGGCGGTGGCGCAGATCTGACGCCCAGCTGTGAGCCTTCTGAAACTGAAGTCCAATACCTGGTTGTGCTTTGCTCACTGGTGTACTAAAAGTTCCATCACATGCTTGACGAATTTCGCCCGCCTAATGCTGAATATCTTCGTAAGCAAAGCCGCCTCTTTCAAGCTCTGGATTTGAGGATTCTCGCTTCAACTGCGGGGCCGAACGCCTCCTATACGAATTGCCGAGCGTACTCATATGAGACACAGCGTGTTCTTTCTTTGTAACATACTCAAGATTTCTGAGAAGACCATAAAGGGGCGAAGTACGAGTGCCCGTGCTCCACACTCAAAAGAAGTCAACAATCTCAATCAGAGGCAAGGCACTCAGTTCGTTTCCAGCCAGACCTACGCAACAGAGTGGCGTCGACCAATCTGCATTTATATAGAATTGTAGTCCAGTCCCCCCCTCGCTCCTACTTCGGGTTGCAACTCGTGCGACGGGCACTGCGTCGATGTTCCAACTGCAGGCTAAAGGACACGAGGGTCTTCCTTATCTAGTCTCCCTTCTGGCTCCTCTCTAATGATACTGACTTCTGGAGCTGAAAAACTGACGCTGTAGCTCAGTCTGTGTCATAAGAACTCTGACCTCGCGGTAACTTGACCACCCGTTTATCCCCACCCTTTTGTTGCCGCTCTTTAAGTCCCTCTTACCCGTCCGACCCCTCTCTTGTCATTTGGATAGACATAACCAAAGGCGGCAGCAAATCAAGATTTTATGCAGGCCTCGGCTGTTGGCGTGGGCTCGCCCCTCTTCCGTACTTGTTTTTCCCGTCGCTTCTCTTCCCGTCCTACAATTCCATCTCGAGAGGCGAAAGAAAGCCAAAAGGCATAGCGTGAAACGGCATGTGGCCACATCCGTCGAGCTACTTGCATACGCAACAAAAAGCCACCGTCTGTCAGCTCAAAGGCCTTGTTTTTCCCGTGCAGACCTGTTTGAGGAGGACGCGCGCGACTTCCACGCCTTTTACAAGGCCCTGTGCGAGCGGCACGGCCCCGGCCTGTACCCCCAGTACAAGGCCCTGTGCGACAAGTACTTTTACATTCCGGCCCGGAAGGAGCACCGCGGACTGGGCGGAATCTTCTTCGACGACCTGAGCAGCCTCGGCGGAATCGAAATCCCGAACGGAAGCGGAACGACGAACGGGAATGGGTCGGGCAGAGAGGGCCTCGAAGTTCGGCCACGTGTTGACAAAGCATCGGCCGAAGGGTCGTCTGGTAGACAGTCCGGGAGCGACGGACAGAACGGAAGTGGACCAAACGGAAGCGGAACGGACGGAACTGTGGGCGGGCCCAGCGGAGCGGAAGATCTGGAGAATGTGTCCGTTTCAGGCCGTGCTGCGAACGCGGATTTCGAGCGGGCTTGGCACTTTGTAAGGGACGTAGCAGAAGGGTTTATCCCGAGTTATTTGCCGATCGCGGAAAGGGCGCGGTCACGGCTTTGGGGGGAGAAGGAGCGGCAGTGGCAGCTTCTCCGGCGAGGTCGGTATTTGGAGTTCAATCTGCTGTACGACCGGGGGGTCAAATTTGGCCTGGACGGAGGGGGGAGGGTCGAGTCAATTATGGTGTCGGGTGAGCGCCACATTGGTCGTTTCTCTCCTTCCTTCCTTTCCTTGCTATTCTTTAATTTCGATTGTCTGCCGACCTTGACCATTCAGAGTGACGGTTGAGTTTTGACAGCGGTCTGCAGTCGGCCTGCTAGTCCTTAACGTGTTCCATGTCTTTGCTGAGCAAAGCTTGCAAGGCTGAAAGGTGCGACTGGCAGCGTCGTTTTGTCTTTGAGATCCAAAGTCCGGTGGGTCTCGAAGATACAATCGCCGGTGTTTGAGAACAGGCCCTGCTTTGGAGGCTGCACTCTTCTTTGGTGCATACATCACGGAGTCGGAATTAGGAATCTAAGCAACAAGCATTCTTTTTTGCAAACTTGTGATCCTCCTGCCTCTGCCTGCCTCCCACTTTCGCTAGGAGAACTTGGGGATAGCATTTTGTGGAAACCCAGTACTCGTGCTAGATCGCAAAGCGAAAGATTGGCTGCATCTTCTGGTTGCGTGGGTTACGTTCGCTCTTGCATGAACCACGATGTTGCATGAAAGCCGATCTTGACAGAGAGCGCGAGCACCCTTGAGACTTGTGACGCACACTGTTCCAAGAGCGGTCTTGCGCTTCGATGGCATGTTGCTGATTATGCCGTTGTATGAATGTTTTTGCAGCGCCGCCGCTCATCGCATGGAGTTACAACGTCGAGCCCGCGCCCGGCTCTCCTGAAGCGGACGTGATGGACATCCTCCGGAAACCACGAGACTGGGCGTAAAGCTCGTAGGGTCTGCAAATGGGGGAGAACAGACGACTGCTTAGACTCGATGGCTGCTGTAGTAATCGAATTCAACCGGTCAAGCTTCAGTGTGAGTACACCGCATGCATCTGGGCAGTGGACATCAGTAATTGACAAACATATGATCGCCGGCCTTTGCTGTTTTTCCCACTTCTAATCCGATCAGCATTTGGCCTGATACGAAGCAACCCCAGGCTGGTGCTTCCTGTGGCTGATCTCACAGTAGGTTCACATCGCATGCATGTTATGTTCGTGTATATATGAACCGTCGCTTCCATGTTTACTTTCATGGTGCGCGCAGGACATGCCACGTCCCAGCGTGCAGGTCTACCAGATGAGGCGTTTGCAGATACCGCGCCGCTTACCAAAGTTGCATAGCGAACCGCAGCTTACGGCCGAGCCCGTCGACTGCCCGTCTAGCTACACCTCTCAAAACCACATATATTATCTAAGTCATTTGAGTAACATAGCCACTTAGGAGGCTAAAGACTTGCATCTGCGTCATGCCGCTCTTCAGTGCCAACTAACTGATGGGAAATTTTAGTAAGGCCAATTACACGCCCTTGATCATTTGCCTATGCCAGTACTACATCCTTCTTACCAGATGAGACTCGGGAGAACATATGCTGCGCGAGATATAGATCAGAGGGTCTTCCTTGGTCGTCATTTGTTTGAGGTCGAAGATTCTTAGACCACCTTTTGCACCCATCGATTTGGGGTTCCTGGCCAGATTATCGAACGGGGATTCCCTTCTACCTTTCAAAGCTTCTCGACTTCGAAGGTTGCGGCGAGTTCTCTTTTGTTGACCTCAGGGGGAAAAACTTAATCTATGCAACGCTCTGCAGATTTAAGAGCAGCGGTCTCATATACTTACCCGTCCGCTTCAGAGTAAAGACCCTCTCAGGTTTGTACCCCAGTCAGGGTGTGGCACGGCGCATAGCCTGCAGTGCTCTTCTGTCAATTCTGCCAAGGCCGCCCAGTTTTCTGTTCGGCCGCGCAGCAATACGTTGAGAGTGGTGAGAATAAAGCATATCTGTATGCTATTTATCAAGCTATCTCGAATCTATGAAACGTTTGAGCCTGAGGGGCTCAATCCAACCAGGCCGGCCGATATGACGATTGCACGTTGATATCGCCAATTTGAAGTTGGGTGAAGACACTTTATCATCTGACCTACCGGTTATTGGTGCGGAAATCGTGGACTGTTCGAGAATGTATGTCGAACCTAGTGTTGTAGTTTCTCCACAAACAATTAACTAGCCCCTTATATGCTTTGTGTCTTCCAAAATGTGCATGTACTTTTAGGAGAATGTGGAAACTTATCTTCAGCGATTGCCTATGAAATGGAACGATCGCGCTTTCTGTTAGTTCTGCTTTCAAAGATCGCCTTTTGGAAGACAATATGGACCTAGATGATTCTACTTCTTCATCGTGAACCACTTGGACTCTGAGGGGATCCCCCGGTACAAGACCGTGCACAGGTACGGACCGGGGGGAAGGACGGCGGCGTTCGTCGGCAGGCGGACCGTGAGAGCGTTTCCGTCCGCGCCCACGAGTGCGAGGCGGACGTACCGCTGGTTCATGCTCACCGTATGGGTCTGCAAGAGAAGGAATTTGAGGGTTGCGCTTTTAGCAAACTTTAGGGTTTATGGATGTCCCAAGCGAGACGGGAAGAGGATCAAGGCTATTCTTCAATGGAGACGGAAGATCTCGAAACAGCTAGGCCTGAAAGTCAGGAATCTATGAGGAGACGAACGGGTTGATTAAGGCAGGAGTAGAGAGACGTGAGAGAAGGCAGGCCGGACTTAAGGCAGGAAGGATCTTAGAAGACTCTAAAGGGTTGAGAAGTTCGAAGGCAACGATTAATCTCGTGAGCGGTAGCAAAAGCGAAAACTGCCGGAATGTGAGCAGGGAGACCCTCGAGAGAAGCGCGGCGTTAGGGGAGTAATGCTCGGAACGTGGCGAAATGCGTAAACACTTGTAAGTACGTTATTGGGTTATAACATGCGGTTACGTCGCAAGCCATCTCCAGACTTTGCGTGACGACCGGGAAAAAAATCCGCTAAAACTACGTGTACCTCTTAGCCAGCCATCGAAACGTAGCATATTGCGGCCAGAATGTTTGTGTGAATTTTGGAAAACAATAGACTCTGCCAAAATTGGCATACAGTGGTAAAAGAACAATGTGGACGAACGTGAATGGCAACCCCTCACCGCAAACCCTGGGTTAATGAGCGCGACCCGGATCTTGGTCGGGTCCACAGTTTTCTCGCTGGGGACGGCGACAGTAAGGTCGAACGTGCCACCCAGTGCGCCGTCCTTAGAAAGCGCCGCAATTGTCGGGCGGCCTTTGGTCCCGATGTACCACGGGGAAAACGCCTCCACTGACGTCTGGGTGACGTCAAGGCTGGCGTCACCGAAGTCGTAGTTAGGACGGGGATTGCTTCCGTGGATCAGGACGCGGCCGTCGGGGATGAGGTACGCAACCTGAGTTTGGGAGAGTTAGCTCTTTCGGAGATCTATCATTTTTCCAAGCGAGAGAATATGGAGCTGGAGGACGGTTGGACGGTTTGCCGCGAAGCGTCTTGCAGCCACGTTAAAGTGGGCGTAGGCGTCACGCCGGCGGCATGGCCGAAGCGTGACGACGGCACAAGTTAGGCAAGCGAGCATCGTTCGATAGATTCAACTCGTGCTTTTCTGCCGTCCGATTTGAAATGCACTTGCGAGTGCATACGCCCACGTTAAGGAATCAGAGCACCGACTGCTCGCTGTGATGCGAAGCCCGCTCTGAGCTTCAGAAAAGTTGCGCATTCAAGAGTGACGAGTTTAAGGGCGACTTCAATCTTCAAAGCCCACAGAGCAAGGAAAGTCCAGAACTCAAACAGCTGAACCCTGACTTCGTTTTTGAAAACCTTACCGCATGGTACAAACGCGCGCTGTCGCTCTTGGACTCCACCTGCTGCCACGTGTCGTGCGTCGGGTCGTAGATGCTGGGCCTTCGTGGAGGAATGGTAGCCCGAGAAGCCCACCAGACCGCCGTTGATGTAGAGACACGTGCCGTCCAGAAGGTAAACCAGGTACCCCATGACCCGTGGCTGCACGGGATACGGCCACGGAAAGCTTCAAGAGGCGAGGAATTTCTTTTTGCGAACCGCTTGCGACTCTTGTTGAAGCAATCGGCGAAATCTCTCCGCAAACGGGATTAGCACCTCAACTCTATCCAACAATGTGAGAAGGCGCCTCTAAATCTTCAATGGAAGAGAAAGCTTCGACGACTGTTCCACTGAAGTCTGGCAAAAGCCGGCGGATCCCAACGGCAATCCGCTGTCAGAAAGAACTTGGTGGCCTTGTCCGATATCCGGCAAATCTAGCCAGCTCCTGGGTGAATCTCCGCGGAATCCGGCGGAACCAAGTGGCGGCCGGTCGCGTACTTTGGAAGCTTCTGGCGGAAACTCTGCAGAGTCCAGAGGACTCCGGCGGAACCGTCGCTGCTCACCGTTGCGGAGGATGAGATGGCCCATTTTGGGTTGTCATGGCTCAGGTCGATGGTTCCGCACGACGCCGATGCCGGTGCAGAGGGATCCCCCTGATTGTCGGCCCCTACCTGCCCGTTGCCGCCCCCGCAAACCATTACTCTGCGCATCATCCTTGACTTCTTCAGCAACGGTTGCTTCATGCACTAGAGGATTTGTTCGCTTAGTCTGTTCATTGAGTGCGTCATCTAGTGTCATCGTTTGCTTCATCAGCGACCGTTCCAGTCAACACTTTACGTGCCCTTTTGAAGCTTTAAACGTCTTTCTGAAGCATGAAAAAATGAGGTCGAAAATGCACGATGCTCAAGGTGGGCTTGACACAGGAGCGCGACGTCCGTGTTGCTCCCAAAATATAGTCCCCGCCGCTCCAGCTTGTAGAGAAATTTATCGGGTCTTTTTAAGTTCACTTCCGGAGCTTTATGTTTCTAGACATATTTGTCTGCTTCTCAAAGCTTTTAACCCTTTTCAATATTCTCAAGGCTTGAATGGCATATGGTTTCAGAGCCTCAACAATTTTGAAGTTTAGGTGTGCTCTATGTGCAAAACGGGAGACTTGAACACCCGCTCAAGCATTACGGTCACAGACACAGGACCCCTTTTTTTAAGTCTTAGATGTCAGGATTTGAAAAAATAAATTTCAAGGCTTCAGGGGTTTTTCGGTTTTCATATCCTACCTGGCCGTGTAAGAGTCCTTGTAGTCGAGCGGAAGGAGAATGGACGCCCCGGCCAGCGGGTAATTGCGGTAGTTTCCGGGGAGGTCTGGTAGATCGGTCGTTGTTCCGGTGTTGTAGTCCAGCAGAACGCTCGACTTGGCGGCCTGGTTCAGACGCAGGAAAGGCGGTATTGATCTGCTTTTGGGCTGCAGTGAGAGCTTTGAAAGAAACCAATGTTAACACGAGGTTGCTTGTTTACTTACTAATGTGCCCGCATAAGGCTCGTTGGAAGGAGCGTTTGGAGGTCTTTCAAAAGGAAACAGGTGTGGCTGGGCAGTCAGCCTGAATAAGGTAACGATCGGAGAACAGTCGGAGACCAATCACAAAGAAATGAGAGAGGCAAAGGTTGAAGGACTTCTTTGATTTGCGTACTTAATAGTCCCCTCAAAGGTGCGTAGAAAAAGAGAACGGTGCAGACGAAACAAGGGATCGAATGACGATCGGAACGATTATTCATAACAGAGAAGAACCACCGAGACTGAAACGGATGAGTTCGCATCTTGAACGCGTTCTTTAGCGGGGATGCATCACCTAGAGACAAGAACTAAACGAAACTTGCAGAATTCTGAAGAAAAAGCAAGAACATTGAGATAAGGTAAAGAGGATGAGAGCGCTCTCACAAAGATAAACATGCGGCCATCCGGTATGAGGTGCACGAAGGGGTATAAGTTTGCAGCGACCACGTTGGGCCGCGCGAGCAGCTCCAGCGGGTGGGCATCCTGGCCGTCGGCCGGGTAGAACTCGTACGAGGCCTGCATGTTGGATCGTACACGTGTCGCACATCTGGGGAGATGAAATCTTACAAGCCCGGCGCGGGTGATTGAAAATGTTTTCGGGTTTGAGATCTGGACCAGAATATAAGGGTGCTTCTGAAGGCGAAGTCGGGAAGCTTTGTAGGAGGTGGACGCGTTGTATTGTTACCGGGTTCTAGAAGGTTTACGAGAAATTAGGGCTGAAGGAAAGAGGTTCGGGGATTTGCATATGGCTACGAATAGTCCGGCGCTCAAGATCTTGTTTTAGAGATTAGTACAGTTTCAGCAGACGAGGCAGCGGCGATGGAGTCGGGAAGAAACCGACTTCTAAGTCCGTCCATATCCTTCGAAGCTGTCCGGCTTGAACAATGAGAACCTAGAAGACTCTCTGAACCGAGTGGATCCGGTTGAACGTACCCTCACGAAGCATACAGCTTTAAGAAGTGCAAGCTAAAGATGATAATAGCATCAAAAATCTGTAGGACAGCGTCTCCAAAAGATTTTGTCTTCTAGCTTACACGGGCTGCAGAGAAGATTCTGTCTTAAGATCGAGCTGGGTCTTGAGATTTAGGGTCTCCGGGTTTTATGTTCCCGCTTACATAGGATGCGGAGCCTCCACCGTTTTGGGTTTTGTCTGACCCGCCCACCATAAGCACCCGGCCGTCCGGCAAAACGTGGGCGGTTGGGTACCACCGGGGGACCTTGGTGTTGGACACCTGGACCAGGTTGCCGCCGTCCGTGAACGTCCGAAGGCCGCTGTTGGCTTCGAAGCCCCCGCTCTGGCGCGGAATCGTGGGTTAGACCGAGGGTCAGGTTTTGGGGTCCGTTAGGAGGTGGGTTAGTCGGGGGGTGAAAGGTCCGTTAGGTATTGGGTCAGTGGGGGATTAGTAGGTCCGTTAGGGGTGGGGTTAGTGAGGGGGTTGGTAGTCCCATTAGTGGGCGAGATTAGTGGATTGGTTAGTGGGTCAACTAGAAGGTTCGCAAGTGGTTGACTTACAGGTGGTCCATTCAAAGTTCCGTCAGCAGGCTAGTTAGTGGGTCACGTAGTGGGTCACTCAGTGGGACAATCAGTGGGTTAGTCAGCCCAGTCAAATAGAGCGTGGCTGGTCTCTTAGAGACGCCTACACGTGTTGAATTGGGCTAATTAACATTCTGCTGGGGTTCTGAGATTGGGGCCAAAGTGACGGAGTTAGATCAGCCTTCTTTTGATTTGCCGTCTAAGACTCTGGATGAGATCCAAAAGCCTAATACACAGCAAACGTAATCACTACATCATTTAAAGGAGATGCATTCTTAGAGAAGCAGCAGATTAAGATAGTCGATCGCGGTCAGTCTGATTATGAAACCTTGACGGGCGGAGATTCTTGATATTACCAGATCCGCCTTTGATGCAGCGACGGCAGGAGACTGCGAAAGCGCTTATCGAGCGAAGCAGAACTTCTGCTCTTTCGTGTCCATTCCCTCAGCACTTTCATTTCAGAACTACGCCACTTTCTTGATCTAGGCAATACCTCCGTCATCATTACATCATCGATCAGTGTGAAGCCGAGCGAAAGACGCACCCCGTCGCCGCCTCCGTTGTTCAGGATGGTTCCGTCCGGGAGGTACGCTCCGGCGGAACACCAAGTGTTGCTCGGAACGGAAACCGCCCGGATGCTGTTCTTGTCCAGGTCGAATTCGCCCGCATAGGCGTCAGTACCGTCCGAAAGGTGCAGCTTTGAGGGGCCTGGGTCAGTTCTGCAAGCATCGGAAAGACAGGTAAGGAACGAGGAAAAGGTGGGTCGGACCTTTGAGGTTCTAAAGTCCTGAAAAGTCACACCCGTTCATTTGCTTCAGGACGCATGCTGCTACGGAAATGGGTGCAGATATGAAGGAAATCAGTAAGTAAAGGTCGGTCTGTCGTACAAGAAAGTCTTAGGATTTTCGGTTTTTGGCTAAACTAGGGATCGAGACCTTTACCAGGGTTTCAGGGCCCCGGGATCCAAGGTTTCCTGTTAGTCGAACCAGAAAACAGACTACATTTTGCTGGCAACATTCCTTGCAAGACGCAACCATTTGAAAAGGAATTTCCAAGAAGCGCCTTCATGATGAAATTTGTGTATCGGAAGCGTCTCGCAGAGCGGTGGCCTTGAGCCTATTTGCGACACTCTGTTTCGGTGTATGGCTTGAAGTGTGATCGACCCAAAGTAGTGCACAGGGATTTTTGGCAGTCAACCGCAGTCGGTTACGGGCTGACTCGGGTTTAAGTGTCCAATGACCAGACTCGATCAGTAACCAGGTTTTGAACATGGCTACAACCCGTTTACTGGTCAAAGAACCAGACTGAAGTGTGGTTATTGAACCTAGTTAGCAGCCAAACCTTCCTGTGGTGAAGCAGCTCACCGGTCAATCATGAGCACCTTGTTGGTGAAAGGAACCGGGGTGCCGTGCATGGGGCTGATGCCGATGTCATGGTTCAAGACGGCAAACTTACCTGCAGTGTTATTCAGTTTGATATTCATGTGTGGAACCTTTCTGAATAATCTCAATGACGGATCGGCGCGATTGCATGCATTTAAACTCAGACACCCAAGAAGCTATCGGGGAACTGTCAGCTTTTGTAATGCGATACGACTCAGTTGAAACACTGTCGCAAACACTTCGAAACTCAATCTGGCTCAAGATGAGGCATGCGGCGAGGAACTACAAGCATGATCAGGTTGTAGGAACTTCTCACCTGCTTCTCTTCTTTGCCGCTTTCAAACACCTCTAAGCCCAAAAGCGCTGTCAGCAGTTACATCACAGTCTGATTGAGAGCGGGCCCTAAAACCAAAAATGGTACCAAAACTCTCAAACCATAAGAACCTGAATCTTCAAAGGTTGCAATCCATACCGGCCGTGGAGACGAGGCCCGGAGTGAGGTTGGGATGTATGGTCTCGCCGGTGCTGTGGAATACAAAAAAGCGTTGTGTCACTCGATCAGGACAGCAGATTAGACTTCAACCCTTGACACTTTCCACTAGGGTTTTCTTGACCGCGCCTTTCGGGCTGCCGGTCAAAACTTCAAAACGTGTCACTTATTTGAGATGGGATGTTTGTGCTCGGAACTCTAACACCTTCCGTTTTGGGCTTTGTTAAGCGTGCCCGATTCCGGAAACAGCTCGAACCCAAGTCAGAGCCTAGCGAGTCGATCTCAGGGTATGACTGAGCACCGGCCTAATCTGTATTTTCTGTGGAGACGTCTATGATCCAGTTATCGTCTATGATCTTTTATCATTTCTTGTTTTGTTCCTCTCAGAAACAGAAACAATTTGAGGAGCGCTTATTGTACTAAACGGAGTCACTAAACAATCGACACAGGTGCTTAGTGATTCCGCCGTTCCGGTGGTAACCTTTTCCGTCCGCCTTCCAGCTTACCTGTTCGGTGCGCCCTCTGTGAATGGCGTCATCAAGGCCAGAACAAGAAACCAAGCGCTGAGTCGGACCGCCATCCTATTAGCGTCTCGTCTGCGAAAGCGATGAGAATTACATTGGAGATTGTTTCGAACAACATTGACGTAACTCTTGTTCCACAAGAATCTAGTCAGAGAGAAAAATTTCCGTAAGATCGGACACCTATATTTGCTACGGTGCCCTTTGGTCAGGTGCTCGTTAGCCCATGCCAGGTGGACGTCAGTAGCGAGAGCATCCTGTGATCCTTAGATTTGGGCTGTCCACTTTAAAGATAAAGATGATTCTGGACATAGTATATAATAAGGATGAAGTGCGTATGAAGAGTCCAACAGCACTGCTTTCACATTCTTTGCCTACAATTTGCAGAGGCTTCTTCACGCTTACATTTGTTTCAATCAACATCAGAGTCCAGGTGGATCCTCGAAGGTTAAATCTATAAGAATAGAAAACTGGCAGTTCCTATGACACATCTCGTCATTCACTGAAAGCGGTCTGTTGACAACAGAGGAGCCTCAGTGCCGCTTAGGCCTTTACAAGGGATTCGAGTGACTTGTTATGGGGCACCTTTCTAGCGGACGTTTTGTAGCGCTTCGAAGTACTCTTTGCAATGCACTTGCTGGTTGCCAACAAGGCATTTAATACATTTCTCAAATGGCTCACACCCTTTGAACTTTTTCAACCTGTTGTTGGAACTCACCTCACTAGTCGCCCTTCTCGCGCTTCGCCCACGTGCGTCGACGCACTAGCAAGCTCCGGCAGGTGTGTCCGATGCACCGTTGGTGGCCAGTCAATGCGGATGCTGTCAGATCGCTGAACCTGTGCTCTCAAAGAAGTGATGTGCTCAGGTTGATAGTTGCTTCTCGCCTCCGAATGCTGGACAATTGATTGAGAGTTTTTTGACCGTCTGTCGTTTGAGCGGCGTTCGCCCCTTTTTGAATGGTAGATTCGAGCAGATTTGGCAAACCAGCGAATCAGAGTTCTGATATGTAGTCAGCCCACTAGAGTACATTAGCAGCGTCAGTGCAACGCCCATTAACGCGTCGAACGACCCGTTCTAGAAACTCTGTTCAGTATAATATCTGCGGTGTAGAGAGGTTCTCTTAATTGAAAGAAGTACAGAATCAGCTATGACAGCCTGTCCCGTCTTGTTTCTTAAACAAGACAGTCTTTAATAAAAGGCTCTAAGTAATTGCGATGCTCCCGAGAAGAATCAATTTTTGTCAGGTAAGAGATCTCTGACGGTCTTTGTAAGGCTTGACTGTCCCAAGACGTTGAGTTCAAGGAAGCGCCGTACTTTTGCAAAGAGCCATGTAAGAGGTGGCTGCAAAACCTTCGCGCGTAGAAGGAAGAGCGGCTTACAGAAACAGCCACCTCCCGCTGGCTCCCTTGTATTTATATCATCGTTCGATGCAATCATGTTCCCCTTCTTGGAATACAAACCGTGCTACGTCTACGGGGGTGCAAAGCGCCGAAGCATAACATACAGATGAACCAAGTCGAAGCTAAAAGCGATAGGATCGAGGATAGAACAACTGAACTATTGAGCCGCCCGGTCCCCACCCTATTTGTGTGACGACATGTCCTTCGTAGCAACTTATAACTGGCGCCCATTCCTTAACGTCGCGGTGTGGGGTATACATAGTCTGACGCTCTCTGCAACCGCAGCCCTTTTAGGATCGAGCTCTCGATGGTGACGGGTCCGTCATGTGATCAAGAAGGGCCAGTCTCTCTTATTTCGAAATATAGGCGTTTGCGCTCGGCACGAGAACGGCAACGCCGAGTAAACTCGGGCGACTGGTAGGTTTGCAACCGTTAGCAGTTACATCAGTTGATCAAGCTCTACCAAAAGAGGAGGCCCCGAAGCTAGCAAGCTTTGATGATTTACTTGCGGTTGAAAGACCTCTTGCCGTTCAATCTTCTGCGTTGTGAGAGGCACATCAGAACCGCACATTATAAAGCAGCCCTATGTATGATAAATTTATGCTCGCTAGGGCTGAAGCCCTGTTCGGATCTGATCCTAGTACTCGAAAATAACATTTACAGTTGTCCAGGTCATTTGGGTAAGAAAGGTACCGCTTCGCCGCCGCTAACTTCAGGAAAAGGGTGAAAAAGCGGCGGTTCGAAGTAGCCCACAAGGCTCCGCTTCAACAGCAATGGCCGGGGACTCGTAAGACGAAAGCATAGCATAGATTTGTTGAGATTCAGCATCTTGACGTGAAGAAAACTCACCCTGGTGTCAAGATAACGTGTGCTTGTTTATTCAAGCTTTGCAATCTTTGATTCGAAACGCAGCCCGGAACATTCTTCAGATTCCACCCAAAATCCCCATTCTCCGGGAGACTCTCAAACAACTTAAAGCAACCATGATGGCCGGAGGGGCCGAAACTTAACGATAAGCCGTATGGAACGAAGATTGACTGAGTCGAGACGTGGGGCGATTGATCATTCATGGTTCGCTTGACTTGCAAGATCATTCATCACAACGGTGAAGCCCGAGAGATTTGCACGCATTTGATGAGCCATATCAATGTGAAGACACTCGAGCAGCTTTTGACGCTATATGCGCGCTAGCTTGGGATATGAAAATAATCGATAAAGATACATCGATCGGCTTCCCTCCATCTTAGCTGAAGGCCGTAATTGGCATGTTTTTCCAATTGAAATAATTGCCAACCTTGCAGAGCGTCACGTCTTCATGACGTGCAATTTATCAGTCTTAAATTCCTTACGTACGAACATTCAACACATTTTGACTTTTGGTGCACAATTTAGAGCCCGGCCGAGCTGGCCAAGGGCGTGAACACCCAGTGCTTGAGGCAAGAAAAGTAAAAACATGTTTCAATGTGGCTGACTCCAATCTGGACCTCAGAGCTAGTTTGGTGTTTCTTCCCTAGGGCCTGACAACCTGGATTCACACCCTCAAGCAGCCCGCAATTGCTTTATTGGAAGACTGGACTTCAGAAGATACGGTTGTAGTAGGGAGCTACGCTGCTTGGCATAACATCCTAAGTGAAATTATCCGGTTAAAGGTGACAGTTCGAAAGGAGTCTGAAAGGTGCCTGAACAAGTGACATTAACGTCGTTGGGATCCGCGAACAGTAGGTTCCAAAGGGACGGCTAATCGATAACGGTGAAGGGTGAACGGTGAACTGCAGTTTCGCCACGTGTTTGCAAGCTACTCGTACAGCATCGCCTCGTACGGCGTGCCCGCGAGCGCGGCCGCGACCTGGTCCCAATTGGCCACGTGGTGTTCCAAACCCTGGGTGTGAATAGGCACCTGCTTGCTCCGCAGCGGGCGGGGGGCCACGCCCAGAAAGTCTTGCACGCGGTCCACCATCTGTGGGCAGGGGAAGCGATGAATTCTTCGGGTCTATTATGGAATAGCGTCAGCGTTGATCAATCCAAAGTCGAACCACATTTCAATCACCGTAACCGCCCAAATTTTATTGAGAGAGGATCCCAGGGAATTCAAAAAACGGGCTCTGATTTGTAGTGAGCAGCAACGAACGACGGAGGGGCGTATGCCCCAGTCTCTGGCACGTGGTCGAACTGAGCGCACGACAGATTTTTTAGAGTTATCATACTCTGATTGTTTCCAGTATCGCACCAGCGGACCGCAACATGTGAGAGATCGGCGGGGGAAAAACGAAATTGCACGAAGAGAACAGTATGCGCATTGATTGTAGTACTGGATGAAGATCTAAAATCATTCCGGTACTGATAGTCCAAACGTCAAATCAGAGCAACGTCTCGTGCCACGTGGTTCAGCACAATAGAAGCCAGAGGTCGCTGTAAAGCTGGGAAGTATCCGCTGAAGCATGTTTAGAAGCTCCCTCACAGTCTTCCGAAATATTTTGAACAGCTTGCACTCATGAGCTGTGACTTTGATATCAAAAATCTGAAACGCGCTTTTTTGGCGAGGGGCGGCAATGTTTGGCAGCGGCTCACACTGGGATCCGCCACGACGTCCTCATAATAGAGCACCACGTGGCGCGTTCCTGCCAGCATGCGCAGCGCGCCCTCCTGCGTCGCTTGCACCGACCGCAGCTTGGCAACCAGAGTGCGGGGGTCCAGCTCCGGCTTGTACTCCGCCAGCTTTTCCGCCTGCACAAGGCGGAACGGAACGGGAGCTTTCATTGCGAAGCGATCGCTGCGATGCGAACACACCTGGCCTGCATTCCGCCAGCTTTTCCGCCTGCGCTGGACGGGACGGAACGGAACCTTTGAATGAGAAGCGGTCGCCGCAAAGCGATCAAACAGAGCCTGTATTCCGACAGCGCTCTTCCTGCGGAACGGAACGTCTTAATCGAAGCGACCGCTGCGAAAAAAACACCACATGGTCAAATTCCAGATTCACTTGTGAACCTCCGGCGTCGATATATCACTATAAATCAAAGCCCAGTTTAAGATCGTTGGCTGAGGCCGTTTTGATCTCAGAAATTCAGCTTTTAAGATCAAAATGGTCTGACACAACGTTCAAGACCAAAATAGCCTGAAAATCTGAGTAGGTTTAAAATCGAAGTGGCCTCACAACGATCTTCAACCGGGCTATCATTTACCCGTACGTCTCTCCTGCGCAAAGCATAACGAGACGGATACCTTTGAGTGGGAAGCGATTGCCCTGAAACGAGTACACACGGTTTGGGTCCAGCCGCTGGCTTGTATTCCGCCAGCGTGCACAGAGCGGAACGGAACCGAACAGGCACTGTGACTTTGAAGCATCCCATCAGAGAGACCCTAGGCGCCGTCCTGGGAACCAAAGTTCCGCCGGCTCTATTCCCGTATGCGCCACGCGGAACGGAAACGGATAAGCATAAGCATTTCTTCAAAGACGCACATCCAATCCTTGCATCGCACTGTGCGTCGAGATCCTGCTTTTGCTTGCTCTCTTCATTATGCTGGGCCGAACTGAACACATGAAGTACTTAAAGCAGGTGGGTTATCAAGACTGTAACTTCGCGGTCTCTGTCGCTTAAGCTGGTCATTCTCAATCGTCTCATTCTCGGTCAGAATCCAGAAGGTCGACATCAGTTCTCAGATCAAAAGTATGTAATTCAGTACCAATTCCATGTCTACCATAAGGGCTCCTTACGCAGGAGCCCTTATCATGGTCGACGTTCGGCTGCTGAACAGGGTGAATGTTCGTACGTGAATCTGGTTTTTCTAACCAGCCCGTAACCGACCATGTCTATGCGCCAAAAGCCCTCTGTTTATGCAAAACAAACAGGAACATCTTGCAGTCTACGGCGAAATTTCGGCTTTCCGGTTGTACTACGGTTCCGGTGCGTACCTCCTCGGCGGAGTGCACGTGGCTCTTGTGCTGTTCTCCGTCCACCAGCTTGGCCTGCTTGTCGTACCCGTTGGCCGCGACCGACACCATCCGGCGGAGCGTGTTCCGCCGGAACAGCACCACGACGGACACGCCGTGCGCGCGCACGTACTCAAGCCAGTCCTGCCAGTGATCCATTACGCCCTGCCACGTCGAATTCAGTGAAACTCATTGGGCTGACATGAAAGGCACAATTCACAACGTGAAAGGGGTATGAAGGTGTCGTTTTCTGTTAGAATTTGGGTGAAGTGCAGGGGTAAAGGTCGTGTTAAGGCTTTCTTCGTTCTTTCAACGGGTTCGGGGGTGCTATTTTTCCCCGCCCGGATTCGTAGGTTGCGTTGCTCTTCTTAAGTGATCAGAACCGTGAATACAAAACTCTCTTTCTTCGTACGGACCCTGCTTCTCTGCTTGCCATCGTTCTTGTCGAGAGGCAGCTTTCGGAGCAAGGATTCCAATGGACTGCCCACCTTGGGGATCCAAGCACTCGAAATGACTCGCGTTCAATACCTCAGTGAAACGGTCGCCCGGGCTCGTAAAACGCGTTTGGTCCTTGCCCACAGGATACGTGGTCATATATTGAAAGCTGCTTCATGAAATGCCCCAAAGCCGGTGCAGAAACGAACACATGTGATTCGAATTTTGCAGGTGATCCAAGGATCAATCGGCCCCGTGAGTTTTAGGGCGCTCCCCCTCACCTGGTTGAGCATCCACTTGAACCCGACCGCCCGGAGGCACTCCGTCTCCTGCGCCACGCGCCCCAGGTTGTACACGTCATCCAGGCGCGCGCGCTCGCGCGCGCCACGCCACGTTTTCTTACTGAAAACCTCCCCGTGGCTGCGCACGTGCGGGTGGCTGTTCAGAAGCGTCTCGAACCAGCCGCTGCCGGACCGCTGCATCGACAGCAGAATAAACGGCGCGACCGGCGTGCACGCGCACGTGGGCGCGCGCGTGCGGCCGCGCGGCGCGGGGTAGAAGCGCGGAGGGCCGCCGGCGGGTGCGGGAGGACACGTGGAGGCGTTCCGTTGGGTGAGTCCCTGATCTTCGGAGAGCTCGTCCGTTTGTTTGCCTTCTTCGTGAGTGCTCCTGTCAGCTTGTGTATCCTGTTCCTCTGTCCTTTCTTCTCCGTTATCAGTTTCCTGTGACGCGACCTTCTCCCGTATTTCAAACTGTTTGTCCGTATCACGATCCTCTTCTTTGTGACTGTCAATTGCCTCTGTGTTTTCCTCTTGGACGCTCTCGGCGTTTGCTTTGCTCTCTATTTGAATGCTGCCCATACGTCTTTGCTGCTTCTCATCCACCGCTTCCCCCCCGCTCTCAGCACTGGCTGTCTCCAGCTGGTATTCGCCCCCCCTCCACACCGCCGTAGGGGGCTCTTCCCCGAGCGGCCGGATGCCCCCCGAAGGAACGCTCCAAGGGACCGGTTCCTGGCCTGCAGTGCAAGAAGCAACTCCGTATCAGAACACTCAACGATGCAACGAGAATCAGATTTGACTTACCTTTAAAGGGGGGTAAGTGCCGAAAGTAGTGCGGATGGTTTGGATCATGCGGATGCGTCTGATTCTTTTGTTGCTCGGCAGTAGAAGAATCTTCCGTAGACGCGACTTACAGGAAAGAAGATCTATTGCACTTTACTGTTTGAAGTGAAGTATGTTTGACATTTGGCTCGGCCCACCATGTTTTGAAGTCTGTTTGTTGATCAATCGTAGCAACCCCATGCACCGATGGATGTTGGAGAAAAGAGTTAGAGGAGGCAAAGGCGCGCTGATTTGCAGCGGCCTGGGTAAAGTGCGAGAAAGGACACCCGCTCAGATACAGATGCTGTCTCTGCTACCCTGCCATTCTGACGGAGTTTCACTGCCGGAGGATGAGAAACCACAGAAAACTGAAGGATAGACCAGATTGTTCACTGTATCGTAGCCATATGGGATTCACAACGGGTTCATGGCACACGTGAAGCTTACAAAAGCAGCAAATGTGAGAAAGTTGGCTTACTTGGGGCCATGCTCTCTCGAGCACATCTCCTATGGTTCCACAGGGAGCCCGCTAAGGCGACCCACGTCAGTAACAGGAGACACCGTCTCACGGGCAACGTCAGCGCCATGGCTGCAGGCTTGCTCCGCTTCTTTATGATCAGGGAAGGGGAAGCGCAGGCGGCTAGCTTACGAGATGTCTGTAGGGAACTCTCCTTTGGATAACAAATGGCCGACAGGACGTGTTTGATAAAAGAGCGCAGGAGAGGATTACCCTAGCATCAGCTAAGAGCCTTGTATGCACAAGAAGGTAAGGCATGGCTGCTGATGGGCTAGTCCGTTTAAGCTCGTAAGGGATGATTCAAGGGCCTCGTATTCCCGAGCAGGAAGGACTTAACAGACGCACGAACGCACCAACTGGTCCAGCTGCGCTGGATGCGACTCTGTCGGTCCCACTTTGTGTAGACGGAAGTTTCGAGGTGGGAAAGCAGGGAATTATTGGTTCATAGACATAGTATGACTACTACAATACGTTGCTCTTCAGATTAAGTGTTCATGGCCGTTTGTTACTAAGCCAAAGACGTGACCTTGAAAACCTCGTCTAGTTGAAATACAGCCTATACGGCCGCTGAGGTTTATTCAAGTGAGCAGGCAGATCTTTCACGAGGACTTTGATGTCGTCATCATGAGCGATCGATCCATGTCAAGAGGCTGGAGATGTGCATATGCGACCATTTCTTACAAAGGTCGATGCTCTACTGACAATTGCATCTCTGTAGGTGCGTGCTGAGAAGAATAGAATGAACACTGGCCGGCGGACTCGAGATCTGACACGTGGAGCGTCGCCGTCGTTGCATGGCTCGCAAGCTAGGCATGTGGTTTAGATCATACATCACACACTGCGGTTGGCAAGCTCCGACGGCGATCTGCAAGAGCCGTAACCGCTAGCGGTAGCAATCTACTCAAATAATTGGGAGCCGTAGGCAGAGGCTGACATACAATGACCCAGCAAGTCTGGAGTCCCGCCTATGATCGGACGGGCACCGGGCCAGGGGCCATAGAGGCTAAGGTAGGTGTCACCCATGCAATATCACATTCATGCTTAACTCGAATTAGCTAGCATGTCACTGGCAGAACAAGAAGTTATTCTTGTTGAGAAACTGGCACTTGGTGCATGCGGATGCTACGGGAAAATTATCCGTTTCCGAATGATCCGGAATTGTGGTGGCAGCTAGAATTCTTGAATTCACTCGGCCAAACCACTTTGCAGGCCGGTGGTTGCTACTTGCAGCACGCTTGGGTTGTAGAGCGGGGACGGATCGACGTGCAGTAAAATGTGGTGGCATGCGGCCCTAACCGTTGAAAGTAACAATTAGTTGACATCAGCATGCATGACTCGACCCGGAACATAGCCTTTGGACGCCCGGTTTTAAAGTGGGCGTAGGACACGCATGTCGACTCCAGGAAATGGACGTTCTTGCAGGCCCACTTTCGCTGAACTTGCATTGCATTTGGTCCTTCTCAAAAATACTCGGACTCACTGATCAGAATGAGCATTTCTGGAGCTTCGAAATGCAACGCCCAATGTAAGCCATGCCCACAGGATTGATCTCGTGTCAGGGAAATCTGTGTATTTGCAACATCTCGAAGTATCGAGGCCCCAAAGCGATGCACCAGATTCAGTGAGCCAATCAGCCGCCGGCACCAGCAGGCCCACCGAGGTAGGACTCGAGCATCAAGCGAGACGGAACTGGCGAAGTGATGTCGACTATGAGATACGTGAACTGCCAGTCCCGCGTCTCTTGATCTTTGAACATTTCCGAGGTCACCATGCCCGTCCCGTTCGGCCCCCGAAGGAAAAATTGCACCTGCGAGAAGGGAACGAGGCAGGGATGTCAGTCGGCCGACTATGTCTCTTTTAAGTGCTGCTTAAGAGCCGGGTTTTTGACAACAGGCGCTGATTGATGAAGGCGGGAAGCCTGGTGCGGGGCGGTCCCAACGAGAGGCTTAACCATGTGTAACAATCAAAGTCATGCCTCTGAAACATGGAGACGCCAGCGCAAGGGCCGGCAAAGCAGGACCCATGCTCGGGTCCGACTTGCAAGACCTTGCTAGACAAACTGCATCCCTCTCGGCTGGCAAGCCTTATTTAGCGGCTTTGTTGAGAGACCTGAATGACATTGATCGAAGCTGCACATTCTCCAATTGCAAGTATGCTGCACATGAAGAACGATAACGGCTCGCGATCTACCTTCAACTCACAGACATACGCCTTGGCTCCTACTTAATTCGTAACGGTAAAGAAAAGTAGAGCATCGCGCTGAAGAAACAGGAAGTAAGCGACTCCGCTCATGAGAGCTGTGATTGCGGTAGAAAAAATGGACGCAGTGAAGGGTGAAGGCGTGGAAGAGGGAAGAGACAAAAATGTACTACCTCACCTGCACGCGTTCCGTTCCGTCCTCATCCTTCGTGATATTGTGCCGGATCCGTTGCCGCGCAGCACGGTTTCGGCTCTCCGAACCGTACCCCGTGATCGGCCGTCCTATTCGCACCGCGACCTGGAAGTGAAACAAATCGGTCAGATGTTGTTGGATTGCTTCCGGGAACACAAAGTCCAATGCAGTAAACTTATTATAATAAATCGTCTGTAGAAGATTCCGGGCAAGATCCTCCTCGGGAGATTGCATGCCCGTCGGTGTACACCGACGTGGCAACCCCGTTGAAAAGGACAAGGAGTGAATCGTACACAGCTGATCCAGACGAAGCAACGTCATCGCAGGAAGCCAGAGCATTGGCCAGCACCTCTGTCCGTAAGATAGCCGTTCCTCTGATCGCCGTGACTGGACGGAGGGAAGCGGAGGGTACAGGCAGGACCTCACTGCGGGCTCGACTTGACGTCGAACGACCACAATGAGGACAAACTGAATTGGTAACGAACACAACAAGCAGGAAGAAGATCGAGAACGGTTCTTACTTGACTGTCGTTTTTAACTCGGTCTAGGGCCTTGTTGAACACCTTGTACCTGCGCGAACGGTGGGGTGCGTCAGGGACGCCCCATGATAACAAAGCCAGTGCCACCTTTCAAAGTGGAGAGAGAAGCGAATTGTACGAATTTATTTCCCCGAAAGCGTGCTTCAAGAAATCCCAACGAACACCGAGGAAAAAATGCAATTCTTTTCTAGCGATTCCCGGACGACATTCGCTGTGATGGTGTCGATTCAAACCCGCGAACTCCCCAATTCCATCCTGGAGGCGGAGTTTGACAGCGTCTGGGAGGGAGAATTCGGAATTTTTACCCATGTCGACCACTCATACCGCTGCAAGTGCTCAGGTAATGATGACTACCCCCTTGACAGAATTAAGCTACGCTAAGGCATTGTCTGCAGAAGATGAAACTTAGCTATAAGCACGTCCATTCATTCTTTCCTCCACTTCTATCTCTGCGGATGTCTAACAGATCAGAAACGCAGCTCAACTATTTTGGCGCTCCCCAAACGGAGATTGTTGCACGCAAAGGGCAGAATTCTTAGAAGACCGCTCACTCTTTTGGTTAAATCAGCAGCTCCTTTGCAACGTAGAACATGACGGCTGCCGCAAGCCCCAGGAACGCTCTGACCCCATGTTGTTTTGCGGTCCCGAACGAACATTGTAGCACAAGAATACCACGAATCTCAGAAGAACGCTCACTCTTTCGGCTCGATCAGCAGCTCCTTAGCGACATAGAACATGGCGGCCGCCGCGAGCCCCAAGAACGCGACAATGACTACTGTGTACGACGCCCCCTCCGCCACCGAGACGGGCTTCTCCGGAATCCGGTCGGTGATGGTGTCGAACGGATCCTCCGCCTGCTGCAACTCGCTGTCTCGTCGCGCCGCTTCCTGCGGTAGAAAGCGCCCTGATCTTAAAAAAGGATTTGAACAGTCAAGCCCGGAGGGGTTTCGCTACACCCAGCTACTGATGCCATTTTTGAGACCGACCCCTTTCAGGGATCACGGAAAAGCAACATGAAGCTTCGCCGTCCAGCACCATGAGAAGCCTGGAAGGTCGATAGATTGGCAGCAGGCATTGCAGCAAGGCTTGCTATTCCAGAAGTCCCTCTGAGGAGAACATCTTCTCCACGATGCAGACAAAACGCAAAAGCTTGGGCCTTCTCTCCTGACTTGGGCGAACTTCTTGGAGTATGAACTAGTTTTGTGGAAGCACAGTGAGAATCTTCGACTTCGGCATCAGACTCTCTCTGCGCAAGCTTTCCAGCCTCGCTGTAGGTCGACCAACCACTGCGCCTCACATTTGAATGTAAGCCGACACTGATATCGTATCTTGGATATGTTAAGAGGTATATCTACCCACCTCCGATGCTTTATTGGACTCTGCAGTCGCCATTCGTGCTGCGCTCGAAGTGAAGCTCCTCTGTACAAGGGTCCAGTGAATGGGGACAACGTCCATCCTGGAAGAGCCCATTGCGACGGTGCTTCGCAAGAACTGTGGCAGGAAGATCCCCTGGGCAGGCCATTGAGACGCTGCCACTTGGCATTCTGCGGCACTAAGTGCTGCCCCACCTGAAAAAGGATAGAATCTGGTTGGTGCAGATATCTGGTAGGCAAGACACTCCCTGAAGACATTGGTCAGCATATCTAACTATGTACTTGGGTCGTCCTGGAGATGACTACTACCTATTTAAACTAACAAATACTAACCTACAGGTACTGTTTCAGTTCTGTGCCTTGTTGCATTTGGTATGTCACAGCCCCGCTGTCTTTCTTGATTGGCATGTCTCCGCAGCTTGACTTCCTCGCAACCAAGTTTGGGATCACTGACGTTTGCGCACCACAAGGTCACCCGGAATGGACCCGGGGGAGCTGCCGCTCAAAGTTGCATGACCAATTGACGAAGCGGTGGTGCCAACACATTGCCCCACTGAACAGACAGGTTGATGTGTTGACAAGGAACTTTGGACACGGGATGCAATAAGGGCACCTTGTCTTGCTGAAATCTCCAGCATATTCACAAACAAAATGGCTTGAAATGGCCTACCGGCTAACCAATTCGCCGCAGAAGGCGCCGGCCCTGCTTTTGCTGCTGCTGCATGGATCTTCCGGACCTGCAGGAAGGACCATGGAGCTTACTAAGTTGTAACCTGTGCTTGAAGGACATGATGAGTGCAAAGTGCACAAGCAAAAAAGTGATTCGACCACCACTTCCTGCGGTCAAATTCAATCAAGCGTACAATAAGGGGAGCGAATAAGTAGTAGATATCGATTGCCACCACCAACTGCAGCAGCGAATCTTTCAACAAGGTCGGTTGTACCAGAAACTTTACACTCAAAAGTAACGTGCACGAATTAGGCGCACCGAAGAAAGAGGGGACGTAGCCCTTTTGAACTTACATGTGCAACCGCCAAGCGTGCCAATTGTCGCCCTGGTGACATTTTCAATGATGTGGCTTGTTTATGCAAAGGCTAGTCTGCAAGGTTCAGCGGCGGACTCTTGTCAAGTGAGCGGAAAAGCTGGCAGAAAACAATTGCTTTTCTCAGTCAAAAACAGGTGGTAATGCTGGTTGTGCAATTTGAATCTTTGGCAGGGCTTTGGCAATCTACGAAGGCATGCGCTACACCTTCTTTCTGCACAACCGACTAGAATGCATGAAACTGAAGTCAACTGTCCTCATTGCCAGATGCTGCGTTTCCAAAGCCCAACGTCGCGCTCTACTGTTGAAAACCTGAAAGCTGAAGAGAGTACTTGCTGGGGGAAGTACCTGTAGGTAAGCAGCGTCCAAGCAAAATGGAAAAGTGACTGGCAGGCGCCCAATTGAACTTGAAGCCGAAGAACGTTGCAGCAGATATCCGCCCAGTCAGGACTCAGCTGCCCTGCATGGCTAAAGCTGGTTCTAACTTCTCCAAGTTGTGGTGTGAATGCGCCTTGCCGGCGAGGTCCGAACGCTCGCACTCCCCTACTAGGGGCCCTAGATGAGGTTCCGAACGCTTCATCGAACGGCCCCCAAAGCCATGTGCTCCACATGGCACGCAATGACGTCAGCCTTCACCTCACAACTTTGCGGAGATCTGCTGCAGTGCAAGCAGAAGCTGGAGCTGGGCTCAGCTTGGCTGTTCCACATAGGTAGCTCGATTTTGGCGGCACAGGGCTCCCTTCCAAAGCGGGGCTTCCTTCCATCCTGCAGCTGCATATTCGCAGATCTGCCTGGCACTACCTGTCCGGCTGTCGAAATTGCGCAAGGGGTGATCTCACCTGAAATCCGGAGCACAGCATTGAACTGAAACTTGAAAGAGTGCTCTGCTGATCAGCTGGTGTAGTGTCCAGAAACCTTCTAAGATGTCAATTCGCGTCCTCGCAGCACCAAAGGCTGCTGCATTGCAGTCACCTCTCCAAAGCCTCATCTGTTCTGAATGGAGACGCCCCCAGGCGTCAGTCCCAAGCAACGCAGGACTCCGCTCAACGTTCAAGTCCACCAAGAGAGCCAGTCATCGTTCTTACAATGCTGCCAATCCTGTGAATGCATTGACCAAGACAGCATTCTATGGCAAGCAACCTAACATAGCCTGGCAATCCAAGTCCAGCTCAAGGATTGGGAGGGGGGGCACTGGTGCAATCCAGGCAAGTGTGCTGGATGGAGTCCACATGGAGCCTGGCGGCCTGGTCGTTTTGGAGGAAGAGACGAAGCTGACGCAGGATGAATGGGAGGAGGCAAAGAACACAGTGCGTGCGAAGAAGGCCACAGAGCGGTGGATTGAGCAGGTGCGTTGCATTGCCTCAGTTGTTGCTAACCATGTTGACGTGCAGTCATCTTCTTCAATTGTAAAGGATGATTCAAGATTGCAAGGGGAAGGTTAGCCTGTCGCCTTAGGAAAGTGCACAATGTCAAAGATTGAGACCACTACTGAGCATTCTTTTAAATAAGAAGAGAGCAGCTCCCACTGTCCTAGACCCCTGCTCTTAATCAGGACTTGAGAGCTGCTTGATGAAGTTACCAAAACGTTGTTGAAACTGACAGCGTGTGTAATTCCCTGCATTGCCTGCCTGGCCTAACTGTACAGAGATCTGTGAGTGAACATACGGGAATTGTTTTCTCTTTGGCTCCCACCTCCACTTACCTCAATCAAATTTACCCCACTTGTTCTGGTTGAATCGTTACATGTCAACATGTCAATGGGCCTTTCCAATAATCTCATGCTTCTGTCCCACACAATGTGATAGCTTTCTGCCCTTTTATGACACTTGCAGATGATCTTCAACTGCCGATTCTTCACACTTGCTGGCGTTGCCGGATCGCTCCTCGGTTCCTTCCTCTGCTTCCTCAAAGTAAGTCTTCTATGACCTAGAAAGCATTGGCTCATTTTGACATTTGATGTAAGTCCTTAAGTGAAAGTTGGCCCGTACAGAAAGTCCTCTTCTCTTCTTTTAAATCCAATTGTGCAGCGCTCCCTTATAACATTGCCAACATTTGTTTCAGGGATGGAGTCACTAGAACGTTGTAAGTTAACCCTGAACTTACTTGAGGGAACTGAATAGAGGGTGGCGTCTCCAATTTCCTGAAAGGGCACTTGTCCAGTCCTGAGATCCGTTCGGTTTGGTCGGTGTGCGCTCCCTCTGTGTCCTTCCGCTTTCAAAGAAAGGGCCTGTTGAAAATGCACGCAAACCTTCAGGAGGAACAGCCCCTGGCTATATTCTGTTTCATAATCTAGCCAGGATCTGAAGCTGCTGTCTGAAGACATCCGGTTTCTTTGGATGCAGGGGAGCTACTATGTGTTCAGGGCTTTGCAAGGTTACATCGCCCTTATAATGATTGCTCACGACAAGGGCCAGGTGGTCATGAAGCTGATTGAAGCGCTTGGTGAGCTGACTAGACAAGAACCTCCATGTCATCTTCACAGGCCTGGGGCTGTTTGATGCACACTCCGGGGTCGCTGTAATGCAAAGTTGAGGTCTTCGTAGGGGTTACTTGAAGTCAAGTTCGTTCGCAGTTCTCAAATGAGGATCCATGACAGCAGCGCAGCCTGCATACAATCTGCCACCACAGTTGAGCTAGAAGCATGCTCGGGTATACAAGTCGTTGTAACCTAGATCTTGCTTCCAGTTGAGTCTCAGGAATCCTTGTCATTTTGGGCGTGTCCTTGTTCTGATTGCTTGGGACCAGGCAATGGGGCGTTCAATCGAGTCATTCATTCACCTCGTGTTTTTATGGAAAGACTTCGATGCTTTGATGCAAGCTTCTGCCAGGCTATTACGCGGACTTGGGAAGTCAGAGACGTCAGCAACGCTTGAGATGTATCAATGTACAACGATTGACGCCCTGCTTTTGGTCTTGTGAAGATACGTACCTTGTTGGCACCGTCATGCTCATCTTTGGGATGGGGTGAGTTTCTTTGAAGACAGCCTAACGAACCAAACTCTGCCTGGGCAGTCACATTGAGTTGTCACAAAGGTCCTCTAAACCTTTGCCTAAACGACTTGGAAGTCTGCCGGTAGAGCAACATTTGTCCAGGCAAAATCCCAGTGTCAACCAGCTCTATGATGAAAAGCGTCCGTCTGCGAGAAATACTTTGCCCAGGGAAATATTCCCGTCGAAAATCTGTCCGATGTGAGCCGTCAGCATAAAGAACGCCAGCGTTGACTCGGTCTCTTACGACTCTCTGTTAGGAAGTTATTCCTGTTTCGTTGTCGAACTTGACCTTCTTCCCTTCCTAATCTGCTTTTGAGAAGGTGGACATTCGACCATCTTGAGAACGATAGACCTCCTCGAATCTTAACCCAGCTTTCCGGCGTCCACATTCCATACGCGCCGCAGCCCGAAGTAATCAGGCAGAACAAGCGAAACAGCAACACCTGGGGCGACTTCCGTCTCAGTGCCACCCCGCCGAAAGTTGCGTAATCCGGAAGCAAAGCCATGCTCGAGACAGCTCCCCGATAGTGAGAAGCAGCTCTGGAAAGCAACAGGGAGTTGCCTCAGAGCGGTAGCGCTCGATGATCTTGCCCTTCGAGAAGTTGGCCTTCTGAACTGTACACTCAAACGCTAAAACCCTAGAACCCTAAAACCCTAAAACCTCTTGCATGCCAGGTTGTATGAGCTCTTTGTGATGAAGTTGGAAGGGCCGGGCGAAGTCGAACACCACAACTCAAGCTTTTTCGGCCTCTTCCGACTCGAGGTATGTGTGCCGTCTCCTTTGATCCTTTTTGAGGTCGGATATGGTGCATTTGATTCAGTGTCTAGGCCTGAACATGTACAGGTGCCAGGCTCGTCAAATTACGACAGTTCAGAAACTTACGGTCGTCTTCGAGGACATTCTGGCCGTTCAGGCAGCACTGGGGGCGCTGCAAATTTGCTTTTGAGGCGTACTTTGCTGGCACTTCCCTTTTCTCTATATACTGACAGCAAAAGCAAGTCTCAAACTGGATCTTCCCGCACCCGCTCTGCATTTGCTCGCCGCTCTCTCGAACGTCTCTGCTCCAAATGCCCTGACCCGCTTTTCCTCCTCCAAAATTACGTTCCGCTTACGAGAACCTCTCAGTTGTCAAGATCCGCCTTCAGCTGCGTCGGTTCGTAACCCTGAGTAACCATGCTTGAAAATATCAGGAACGTCCCACGTGGCTCGCGATCAACGGCCTGGACGACCTCAAGACCAAGCTGGGCCACGTCATCGTGATGATCCTGCTCGTGGGGATGTTCGAGAAGTCCAAAAAGGTGCACCCCCAAAACTCGACGGACCTGTTCCTGACCGCCGGCTCCGTGCTCATGTGCGCCGGGAGCCTGTACCTGCTCAACCTTCTCAAGCACTGAGAACGCGGCAATTTGCGGGGGGCTGTGCATGAAGAAGCCTTGCTGTATGCAATGTACTATTTTATGTTTCAACATAATTGGTCAACCGGGCACTTCCTTATAGGCAGCATACGTAGTACTTCCGCTCTCATATGAGCAATTTGTGACGACAGATTAGAGGAGATACGTATGGTCAACAGATTGTGAAGCAGACTAAATTGTATATATAGTTGTGTTTGGATTTGGCATACATTTGGATTATAGCTTGGGAGGGTCAAATTGATTGCTGTCCGCTGTTCAGCTCAGCATTATTATAACAGATAGAAAATTGGGACTGGCGGATGTAGGCGATACAGTAAACAGAGATGGCCACATGCGATATCCTGAGAATCTGGCTGCAAATATATATGGAAGTACATTGTTCCGTAGATTTAAGACGGTAATGGAAGTAATTAAAATGATTGAACCTGGTCAATAAAGGAGGGCAGATGGTTGAATCATTCTGTGTACTCGTCAGATCGAGAAAGGTCCATCCGACTGGAGTGCGATATACTAAAAAACCAAGGATGTATGGAGAGCCGGCGCCTTGCAAGTGGAATTTCATGCATGCCCCTTCGCCATAATATATATTTCCGGTAAAACGGCCGCGCCGCCATGTAGTCTTGCAGTGAGCGGGAGACCCATCAATGTTTGACGGTACGTCACTAGCGCGCGCTTACTAGGTTCAGACGAGAGCTAGCTACTGAGTGTCATGTCATGCATGCAATCCTTTGCATGCGGCTTCGAGTCCGCATATCTTAAGGGCCCGGCCATGCAGGCCCTGAGGCGGCCGCATGTATGCGAATCCCGACCATAGACTCAATCCGGGAAGGCCCGCGGGCAAACTCGGTATATAAGTACGCGGATGTATAGAGATGGTACGGGCAAGCAGCAACCATGCATGTATTTCTCGTTTGTTCAGGTGCTTAAACCTGATGGTTGTTCAATGACCGCTCACTGATGCAAACAAATATGCGGCGACGGTGCAGGCTCGAGGCTCGACTCAATCATGTCTCTTATTTGGCCTAGCTTGAAGTTGACTCGATTGCAGGCGCGCGGCAAGTCGAGGAAGACTGCGATCCATACCCCAAGGGGCATCGTCAACCTTTGCGGCAATGGCGCACGAATGGAGCGAAAAGTCATGCCGTATCTCGCTTCGAACTTCTGGTAGGATGTCTTGACGGAAATGTTACAAGTGCATTAAGAATCGCCTTTGCAACAATGGAGGGGAGGCAACCACAGAAGTTGTCAAAATGGACACTAAAGAATGTCTTCAACGATCGTTATGACCTCCTTCATCGACCCGTCGCCGATTAGGACCACGTCGAACGAGCTCGCAAAAACTTCAAGATTCTCCTCCACCTTGTCATTCCTGCGGAGGAGCGGATTGCCTTCTAATGTCAAGATTCTTTTGCGATGCCGTTCACTTGAAATGTCAATCTAGTCTTGGTCCCCTAGAACGAATGCAAAGGCGCGGCAGGGCAGGAAGACGACAACTTCAAAGGTCTTCAAAGAACGAAAGAAGCATTCAGTCGACAAGCCTTCGGAGAAGACACAAATCGATTATGCGTACAAGATACACCTCTGTACGCTACGTGCTGAACTCTCTACATCTATCATCTTCCTCCAGCAACGGAAACATGGCGTAAACAGGAGGAACCCGAGAGGGCTACTATTTGTCGTAACGCGAGAACAGGGATGCAATTGCTTACAAATAACCGGGAAAAACAACGAAAATACAGGACACTAAAAAATAGTGGGAAACAACTCACAAAAACGCGATGCTGATCTGTTCGTCCACGTCTACCCCCCGCGACATCCCCAGGTCGCCCAGGTGATCCCCCAACAGGATAACGTTGTTCCGGCCCGCCACGACGCTTCGGCCGTCCAGGCCGTCGATCGCGGGCTCGGTGCTTCCATCGGACGGCTCCCGGTGCTCGAGATCGTCGAGGACGCGGCCCTGCTCGTCGTGCATCGGGCCCGCTAGCGCGATGGCGTGCTCGTTCTTATTGAGTGAGTGGATGAGACTGCCTGCAAACGGGGCGCCAAATTAGGGCTTCTTCTTGCTTTTCGATGTCGTCTGATGTTCATATGACTGTATGGGTGACAGAGGCAGAGCACAACCCTGTACTGCGTCTGATGTTGGACAGTAGGGAGGTGGCCTTAAAAGGAGCGTACAAAGGGCCTTTGTTGGTAGCCCCAGGCGAAAGAGAACGTGCACCTATGAAGGTCTGACAAACTAAAGAGCATAGTCTCACTGAGTAGACGGTTCCAAAGATGTGTGGCAACATGCACGCAACACGTGCTTCTCTGGCTACACACCTCCCCCAAACAGATGGCAGCATCTCAACTTCAATAACAACAGATCAGAAGTAAGAATGCTTTGCTGACCCCGTAGCTCGTGAGCCCCGACCCTCAGGCTTTATTGTTAGTAGTGCAAGCTCGTGTGCTCTTGCTTGGAAAGGAAACTCGCACCCTTTGCTGGTCCGCTTACCGACAAAGCTCTGTAGCCGGCCTTCTTCGTCGAACTTCATGCGGTTGGACACGACCCGGATGTTGCCGAACGCGCGGTGCAGCTTCTGCCGGAGGACCTCCTCCAACACGTCCGCCAGGCCCGCCGAGAAGATCAGGACGGGGACCCGTTTCGACTGCAAAGAAAAGTTAGTCAGCATGTTCTTACGGGGCTTCACTTCTTTTTCACGTTTGCATGATTACTCACTCAACCCTTCTTCAGAAGTATTCCTCCAAAACGTCCGCCAGGCCCGCAAAGAATTCAGGAAGGGAACCCGTTTGGTTAGGCTAAGGTTCTGGGACTTTATGCATGGTTTACGTATGCATAAACATCCCCTCAGCTCTGGTTAAGAGAAACTCCTCGAACACATTCGCCAAGCCCGCAGAGAGGATCAGGACAGGGACCCGTTTCGACTGCAACGCAAACAACGGAGGCTTTCAAAAAGTCGGTCAGTTCACTTACGGGGCTTTGTCTTTGTACAAAATCTGATTAGATGCCCACTCTGCTCTGATTAAGAGGACCTCCTTTAAGGCGTCCGCCACCTTACAAAGGACAATGAGACGGGAACCCTTTTCGAGTGCACAGTGAGCGTTAAACGGGCGTGACAAAGCTCCAATGACGGGCACTCATAGAGTACTTCGGCGTGCTTTAGGTGCCTCCTGAACCTGGCGAAGAAGGTGGCTTTCGACGTGATCCAGAGGCCCACGACAAGGATAAGGACGGAAAGGAGGCCCGCAACAAGGATGAGGGCAATACTCCGTCTTGTTTCCACGCCAAACCAGTTGTGACTTCACTTAGTATTGGATCAAGGGGCCTAAGCTCGATCGGCAGGGGGCTTGAGTGGAGCCGAAACGATACCTGCAAGGAGCTGTGACCGACTGCCAGCTCCGTTTGAGCCCAGCATAAAAGAAGGATTGCCGACGCTGATGCTTCGGCTAGCCTGCACCTTTGATCGCTCCATCTCAGATACAAAGGGGTTCAGAGCTTACGTCTAGCAGCTCAAACAGCTGCGCCGTCTCCTCCCTAAACGCCACATTCGCGTTTGCGACTGAGTCCCGAATCTCGTCCAGCGTGAGCCCGCCTTCCAGCAGGGTGGCGTGAGACTTTTCGTACCTGAAGGAAACGGAACAGAACGGAACGAGCTGAGCACTCTGACAGAAGCGGGACGTTGCTTTTGCAGCTCTTTGTGCTCCAAGGTCGCCAGGACCTGGTTACATTTCCATTTGATCCTCGTGTCTCCGAGACAGCAGTCAAGAGACAATTTTGTCCGACTCAAGCTGGAGAGCTGCAGGATCAGATACTAATATGAAGGAGTCTGCGCATGGACAAGGTTGTGCGAGGAAAGCTCGTGAGTCGTATGTTTACTTGAAGCAGGTTGTGACAGACCAACCGCAACGCTTGAGTGCAGCCTTTAAATGCGTCGCTGCTGGAAATTCGACCTGTTTGTATACTACTGCTTTTTCAATCGTCAAAAGAACTGCGTATTCCCCCCTTCAAAAGTTCTGCTTCATACAAAAACAGGATAGGCCTTGTGCCCCTTTTTTGCAGTGTAGCTGCGCCTCTTGGGCTTCCCAGCAAGAGTAAGAACAGGGGTACCTGCCGAAAGAGGCTCACCACTCCTCCATCAGCTTGACCTTCTTGTCATACGGGATGCTCTGATCAATCTCGAGGGGGTAGTAGTGCTTGTACAGGTCCTGCCTCATCTGGTTGTACTGGTCGTTCTTTTGTGAGAGCAGCGAGTGGCAACCTGCATACCAGGATGTGCATGTTGGTTGCTCATCATCCAAGTTTCCTCAATGCTTCATTCCCAATCCCTCGTTCAGTCGACCAAACGAACAAATGAGTAGGATGATGCACTTCATTAGTTTACTTTAGCAGCGTGAGTCTTCATGCCTGTGGTGGTTTGAGTCTTGTTACAGTTACAATTCAAGTCATTAGACAGACTCACTCTGGCCCTTCTTCCCATTGACGTTGAAGCGCGTCAGCGTCATATCAAAGTCGGATACAATTTGCAATCTCTGCGGCCCCGCAGCTCGTATTGCCCGCTTCTTTCTGTCCAGACCCTCCTGATCCCGCACAACGACCCTTGTGTTCGGTATGGGGACCGCTTCTTTGATGTCCATGTTCGAGGGATCTGCGACCATGGCTCCTACGTTCTCTACTTCTTCTTCCACTAATGCTGCATCAATTGCAGCACAGGTGTGGTGCTTTCTGAGCTCTCCCCTGAAGACACCCTGTGAATGCGAGAGACGGTGCTTGTAGAGGTCAAGGCTCTTATCCGAGAATCTGGGACCAGCTCCACTGTTTGACAAGAGAGTTGATCTGATAATGAGGGAGTGCCTAGCTGAGGCGCCGCAGATGCAGGAACCACAAGCAGCTTTGCAGCATGTGTAGTTGGAATGCGAGTTGCGTTCCAAGCTGCTGAGATTGCGTGCACGAAAGGATGACGTTCTAGAGCTGAATTGGCTCCCCAAACAGCAAGGGCCTCTACTGATGAGTCGGGTGCGCGCCAAGGCGCTTGCAGCAACCGTCATGAGGAGTCCTCATCACACGCACCCACTCCTCCGATGGCACAGCATTGGGGGCAGTTAACAGGAAGATCTAGCTGCTGCCTGCATCATGACATAATGAGCTAGATGTAAACACGGAGGGCCAAATAAGCTAGCTTGCGAATTGAGAGACCTCACGCTAGCTTGAAGGTCCGCTTGAAGTTGTACTGCAGCGCAGATCTACGTGTCGAACGACGGAAGAGTGGCCACTGTTCAAGAGGTGTAAATACGCCTGGCGGCTCTAGCGGTTCTTGATTACCGACTGTTTGTCGGGGCCATTTTACAGTCTTGGCAACCGAGACGGCTGCCGTTATCTGAGCAGAAGCCTATTTACATCAGCCTTGCGTCAGTGCATGCGAGCTATGCTGCGGCTAGGGCCCGCAGGGGGAGTGCATGACAGCACTGATTGGTGGAAGGTGCTTCATCAAGTTCACAACTTCAAGCACACAAGGGAGGACCCTTCAGCAGGCGCCTTGCAATCGGGCTCTCTTCAGGACCATCTTCCACTGAATCTCTCGGCTAGTTCAATCGTCACCCAATGGCTTTGTCGGGCTGTTTGCAAAGGTGCAGCGGCCTGCTATCCTTCGCACCTGCGCAAGCAGATGCGCGCAACAGGTCAAGTCCGAGAAGTCCAGGTCCTCCCGCATGCACACTGTCCCGCCCGTCAGCTCCAAGCAGACTTGCACGTATTGGCCCTGTCCAGAAGCAATGTAGAAGCAGTGAGGTTAGAAGGCTCCAAACTCCATCCTTAAGAAGTAGTATGTTCTGCCGTCATAGCGTCAATTCTTCAATGGCAGCCATCTGCGGAAGATTACATCCAGCCATGCGAGTTGAGGGGAATGAGGGGAGGGTGATGGCTCAGTGGCTGGAGAATAAGTGAGCTATTCTTTGCACTTTCTCTTTTCTGCTTTTATCACTTGGGTGAGGCCAGTCTGCTGTATCAGTGTATGGACTTCTCGTGCCTTTGTGTTGGGTGGTGCCAATTCCTCAAGCACCCTAGTGCTCAGTACTCATCACTGTATGATCACATCCGGCCCATGCCTTTGATGGGCCCGGGGAACATGAGTGCTGCTAAGAGAAGCTGAGATTAGATCTTCGGTGGCAGTCTTTGAAGAAGCTGGTGGTGGTTGCTTTGCGGCAACTGCAGAGCAGCTGCAGTATCTCGATCATGGGTGACACACCTAAGCTGGAATAGTCACCAATGTCAGATTAAGGGCTTGGCGCGCCCCCGCTTGAGCTAAAGAAGACATACACGGGCGCTGTTGCTCACACGAGTAGGTCAATGATCCACTTGGTGAGACTCTAAGAATGCATCAGCTTGCGACTTGCTGGTCCGCATGCAGAGCGAGTGTCTTGATAGTGTCTCCATGTAGTTGCACGATTGCTTCTTGGGCCAAAGGCTGATCAGTCGGTTTGCCCGTGGACCAGATATCTGCAGAGCCTGCCCGGTAGGACATGATTTTGATGTCAAAGTCAGAATACTTCTTCTGAGTTGTCACATCTTTGAGCTTACCACCAGAATGGAGGTTGCACGAAGGTTGGTCACTATGACGCTTCTTCCGGAAACAAAACACGATTGACGCAGCGCAGAGCTGAAGAGGCGTCCAGTTGAAGAGAAAGAATGAAGACCTGCGGAAGAGGTTTGCTTGAAGAATGAAACGAAATCTTTGAGAAGGGAGTGAAAGAATCTGATCCAAGAAGTTGATCAGCTTCCCAGAGAGACAGCAGTCGATATCTTAAGCACAGGATATAATCAAAGATCCTTGGCTCGGCAAGATCTTTCCACATTACTGAGAAATGGACTCTGTGAGCTAGTGGTCATAACCTCGAGCCGGCCCCAGACCCTTGTCCTGAAACTATCTGCAGTGCGGAGGTTCGAGCTGACGTGCCACTAGAGGAGTGCTGGGAGCACTGGATAGACCGTGAGAAGATCCCTCAATGGATGCCCTGGATCTCTTCAGTGAAGGTGCGTGGCACTGCTCCTCATCAGAAGTTGACTGGAGTAGGAAAAGGCCTCTGTTGCAGGCTGGCAGATAAGTGTACCAGGTCTAGCATTTGGGACAGCTGAGACCAAGACGACTTGAAGCAGACTAGCATCGGCTGAACGTCGAGAGCACCACAAGTGCACCAGCAGTTTGCAGATTTCCGATAATGTGCTATTTTCAATTTTGGCTTAGCTTTAACAATGCTCCGGTGAGTAATTGTCTTCTTTTACTGCAAGAATCCGCACAAAGGGGTAGCAACGAATGCTTTGTACAACCTCGTACGGCAATACTCCACTTTATGTTTACTTTCGTCGCCCGTACTCATCTTCAAATCGCGAGATTGCTCTCACAACGCAGAAGATTTCTCCGCTTATGGCAGTGGGACTCTTGTTAATAGGTGGCTATCAGTCCGTGAAGAAGCCGTCACCGGGGGCTTTGAAAGTGTACAGATCAGATCACGGAGACAGTTCTGCGAACGGCCCCAAACGGGGTAGTTTTTATTTCTGAAACGTTTTTTTTGGCGATCGTCGGCTTGCCCGACATTCCGGTGGCTACGGAATACAGCTTCGCATTGTAACCAGCTTCTGATCTCACCCAACCGGGGAGTATCAAGCCCTTCTTCGACAGTCGTCTAAGAATACACACTTTTTCCTTTTCTCTCTCAGGTCCTCGAAGACACGCCCGACCTCTCTCGTTGGACCCTTAAGTACAACGCCTTTGATCAGGACTTCACGTTTTCCTGGGTTGCCCGCAACATGCAGCCATTGCACCACCAGAAGATTCACTGGCGGGCTGTAGACGGCCTTGCGAACAGGTACGTCAAAGTAGAGTCTCGGTATGATTGACTCCCCGGCGTGTGGCATTTGAGGGGTTCAAACCGCCCTGTGTTCTGTCGGTTATCGAGTAGTCTTCTTACAAACCCTGACGTTCTCGTCAGTCCCTTCATCTAATTGCGCAATACTTTATATTCAACCGCCTCAGTAGATCTTGTAAAGCCGGACTGCAGTCGCAGTAACTATTCACGTTGAGGCCCATCTCAATCGTTTTTGTGATCCTTCCTTGCTAATGACGTCCAGACTGTATTTCTGGACGCTGGATCCGCATGCCCCACATTGTCCCAGCCCGTCGCTACCGCATCAATGTCTTGGTAGCTCGAGCAGAGGAGGAAGGCTTGTTTTTCGATATTCTTTTTGATTATTCTGAAAAGGCAGCGAGATATACCTTGATAATCCATTGAACGAAGATCAGAGATTTGCCTTCGGATTGCACGATTGTCTTCCAGATTGAGACTTCTTTAAGTTGGAAATCAAGTGTTTTCACTGGGCGCACTGCCAGAACCTTTTATCTGATTCCGCTGCTGGAAGGGACTTGACGACCTCAAAGGTCAAATTGGGCTTTTCTTTCGAGTTGGCCCGGTTGACTCTGGTGCAGAAGGCACCGAACAACATCTCTCGCCACTCGTTGGGCTTGACATTCTGGGCCCTGAAGAGGACTGAGGTTAGCTCCGTTTATTTGAGACGAGCATCCTGTTGCCAGAGTCTTCTTAAAGTGGTTAAGTGCTCGTCGATTGAATTCGGGTCTGCAATCTGACCACTGAGCATTCTGTTGCAGAGGGGCGGTCCGCTTTTACAAGAACCGGGACGGAAGCTGCCAAATCAAGGTCGGTCGCTACAGCCCTTGCGAAACCACTCGGTTCCAGAGCTTTTGAAACGACACAGCTCTGACCAGAATTGCGGCAGTCCGTACAAAGATGCTTTCATGGCGATGACCGAACATTCTCCATCATCGTGGAAGCCAAACTTTGAACAAGTATGTAAGAAAGCGACTCAGCCGCAGCGTTACACGGAACCATGCCAGCATAAAGGTACTGCGAACGCTCGACGAAACCTGCTCGGAGGTACGTCCCGCTAACGTTTGCGCAGCCAACCCTGACGTCAGTCGCTGGCTCGTGCAGATGACGATATCGTACGAGGTCCCGGGCGTGTTGGCGCCCCTGGCCCAGGTGAGCGCCCAAGGGGGATCCCTGAAAACCTTCGAGAGCTTCCATGCATATGGAAGATTGGCCGAAGTTCTTTCTCGCCGGGCCGAGCATGCAGTTTCTTGAAGCTTTGCGCGTCCGATGCCGATTTTAGGAGCTGATGCGACATTTACCGTCAGTTCTTGTGCGCATGCTCCTGGTTGGGAGATAGCTCGCTGCAACAACTGCGCAATCCGTTTTTGAGTCAATTTTGCCCGGGTATTACTATGTTACTTCGACAAAGCTCCAATGCTCACTGGTTCCCGCGAGTCTTGTCAAAACGCTCATTGAGTTCTGAGCCACGTCCTTTTGACGTATGGTTGTCCAGAGCTTCGGTCGTCTCTTTCAAAGCGCTGTTGCGTGCGCTTCCCTGGACTGGAAGAAACGGGGAAAAGAAGGGCGCGTGCGTTTGGCAATTCAGACGACTCCAGCATCGCCATCCCTCAACTTGAGCTTTCCCTATGATGTGTGCTTGGAGGCCTGCTTTCGACTTCTGCTTCGGTATTCTTGACGGACTTGGGTGCTTCACGGTTTTTGGCGAGGATTGCAATCCATGACAGCGGGACGGTATTCAAATGCCATATCTGTCTTTTTGGTACTCGGGCGGCTTCCGGGGCCCTGGCAAGTTATCAATCTGTCTGTTGCTTCTGCTATAAGCTGACACCACTTGTTTGTGTGCCAGGGTCTCACACCGATTGTCGAGGGCATCATCCAGAAGGACCTGGAAAGATTTGTCGAATATGCTAGGACGCACAGGTTGAAGGTGCCGGCAACAAAATGATAGCTCTGACCGGGCTGAAAGCCTTTGATGAATCGTCGTTATTCGTTTTAACCTAGGATTTAATACGACTTGCTTAGTGCGAACATTGATTTATAAAGACGCAAACAAACTTGAAAGCCTGAGCGCTTCCGGAGTAGCAAGGTGCCTAGTTCGAGGGTTTCCAGATTCTTCGGCCGATTCGTTGCAAATGTTCTAGAGAGCTAGCTAGAGACGGCCGCATCTTGGTACATACACATCAAAAGTTAAGTTAGCCTGACCTGCGATCGGACTGACTCAGTTGATTGGCTTTTCTAGCTGTGACCCTGCGTCACTGTCACTAAAATGCATTCATGTAAGTCATGGCCTTGGATTTCAACGCAGGCCCCGGCAGGCAACGTGCTGCCAGATCTCGCCAAAGTAGGACCACCTAGGGCCCAAAATTTTCAGCCCGCACGCCGCTTTATAAGAGAGTATGTCGTGCATGCCATGAGCGTTGAGCGCGATCGATGCGTATGTCTCCTGTATGGTCTATTTAAACGAGAACTACATGCAGTAGCACATGGTATTATACTAAGTTATCAACAGTTTGGCTGAAGGATTGCTGAACCTCCTGACCTTTGGCACGATACACTCATGCGCTCTGCACCTCTCCACTGTTGGTGACATATACGGTATATATACCCCGGCTTCGTCCGAAGCTCGATCCGGCCGGCCGCCGGCAAGCTCGCAAGGCTGAAAACGTCATACCTAGGTTGCGGTCGGCCATCGACCCCATGATGAGAAGCGAGTCACTCTAATCATGCATGATGAACACCAACAAAGTTCCCTCAACACATGTTTGGCAAGCCATAGAACCGGTCTCTGCGCTCGAAACCTTGAAATGGCACGTGATGACCATCCGGCCGCCTCAAAAAACAGCTGGAGTCTTGACGATCACGTGTCACTCAGTGCCGGCCGTCACAAAAGTTTCTTTCGTAAAGGTAACGGTTGAGTAATCATCTATGGCACCACAAACAAGACAACTCGAGGCACGGAGCTGTCAGGCATGCTACTTCTCTCGCCAGAAGTCTAAGCGGTGCAGATCGTAAGTATCTTAACAGAGAGATCTCTGGAAATGAATCAACTGAAGCTTCAATCTACATGCATAGTGGCGCAATATGTGGTGCTCGTCGAAGTCAATGCCTCTACTTACTCGAGCACTTTCTAACGTGTACCTCGGCTCTGTCGCTCATGCTAACCTACATCTATCGCTCCTCATGGGTTCTGTAAACCTGCTTACAAGATGGAAGCGATGAGCAGGACAATGCCAACGAGAAGTCCCAGGTTGGCGCTTGTGCTGGCTGCAGCACCGGGTGGGGGAGGAGGCGAGACAACCGCCGGGGGAGGGGGAGAAGTCGAGTTTGCGGGGCCGGGAGCAGGGCCGGGGGCGGGGCCCGGTGCCGGGCCAGGGGCCGGACCGGGTGCGGGTCCCGGTGACTGCTTGTTGGGGGACGGAGCGGGAGCCGGAGTCGGGGGACGCGGGGGCAGGGGCGGGAGGCTGAATGTGTTGGTGGGTGACTGTGCGAACTCCAGCGTAGGGGGAAGAGCCGTGTTCTGTAAGGACGACAAGGTCATAAGTCAGTCAAGAGGGTGAGCGAACGAAACCCGATCCATGATGACGCCCGCAAGGACCGGAAGTTTCGTTCGACGCCTTTCCTCCTTCTGAGATCCTCATGTACATGGATCAGATCAAACATTTGTCAGGACGTGCGGCAATTACTTGACAGGATGAACTTTGATCCGACATGCTCAAAAGAGGATCGACAGGCAAGATGCTCACCGCAGTCCCGTTTCCGCAGTCCTGGATGATAGAGTAGTAGCTCTCATAGAAATGCGTCTGCACAAGTCGTGCACTGACGACCTCTGCGCAAGCGGTGACCTGGGCTGTGTTGGTATCATCCGTCGCAAGGTCCCTTGCTCCCGCAACAACCGCATTTTCACAGACGGTAAGCCCTGCACGGAACAGGGAAAGACACGGACTAGGTCAGCAATCGCCTTGATTGCATTCGAAGTCATCCTCTGGCCTTCGGACAACATCTTCAAAGCGAAGCTCATCAAAAGCCCTTTCATACTGCAGATGAAGTTCGCGGACGCAGCAAGAGTTTCTAAAAAGTGATTAGGCGTACCCCGTACCTGATTCAGCTGTAGCCGTTTCACAGCTGTTGGGCCCGTAGCAGGCTGTAGCCAGCGCGTTGAGGTCGACCGTCCTTGACACTGTGTCGGCGTCCTTGATGGGGCATGCAGAACCTGGAAGACGAGTACAATCAACGAGTGCCTTGGCAAGAGGGCGTCCTAGAAATGATTGCCCCGTATCTTGAAAGCATGATTACCTTGGCTTTCAAAGAAAATAGAGACGCATTTTTCAAAAGATGCACTATCACGGGTATTACTAGCCGCGTTGCCAATGCAACATGCTTACCTTGCAGTGTCGTTTCGATGTTCGGAAACACTTCGACATTGTATGGCGCGCAGAAGGTGTTCACATCGGACGGAATGTTGACATTGTTCGGGGTCAGGACATTTGTCTTGAAGTCGTTGACGCAGGCGATATTCTGACCGGCAGGATTGTCGGCAGTGATGGCATAGATGTTGCTGGAGTTTGGAGAGAGGGATAATTAGCTCCCAAAAGTCATCACGCAAGTTGGCAGATGGGGTCATGGCTCCGCAAAAGTTGCTGAAAGTACAAGCACTTCATTTTATGCAACCAATGACCATCATGAGAATGAGCTAAGAAAGTGTCCTCTTCTGTGCAGAAGGGTGCAAGCTTCTCACCTGTTTGACTGGGAGTTCAAGGCCAAAAGAGCAAGCCCTGTGAACAAGCAAAAGCTTCGTTAACATCGATATACGAAACAGAGTCTGGTTGAACCTTAGGCGAACCTATGAGGTCATATAGCAGTTTCCGTGGAAAAGGAGCATCTCCCATCATCATCTGCTTTTAAGCGAAAGGAAAAGTTGCGCAACCTCACTCAGAGCTTTGAAGCAAGTCTTCTACTATACAAGAAGCTCACCATCCATCTAGGAAGTTTCAGTGTGATTGCGTCCTTACCTAGAAATTGAATATTTTCACAACAGTCTTGGCTTGCAGTTGCCACGTTACCAACAAGGCAATCTCCCAACAGCGTGGTAACTTGATTTGGTTGCAGCACGCTGAAGGAAAAGTCGCCGAGGCAAGCCCCTGCGGCCAAAATGCATTCTCTCCTCAATGAAATCGCGATTGCATTCAGGAGTAGAATGGAATGATAGTCAGAGTTTTGCTGTGCTGTTTCCAAGTAATTTGCAGCTCGAGTAGAGAGCTTGATTGCTTTTTACGATCTGCACTAAGCAGTTTCTTAGTTTGTCAAGTTAGTGGTAATTGCATCCATGAAGATTGCCGGCTGAATGGAAGAGCAGGGGCCGAATCTGAAAACCAATTTCCCTTCTTTGGAAGACATTGCCTTAAGCTGCATATGAAGGAAGGCCTACCTGGTGGAGCAGGTCCATTAGGTCCGGGTGCTGGTGAGTCTGGTGCTGGTGCTGGTGCTGGACAGAGGAAATAAATTGTTAGATGAAGAAACCGAAGGCAGCTTGGAAGCCTTCTAAGCACACCAGGACAATTGCAAGAAACCTCTACAAGCTCTGGTAAGTAACATCTCCTTAACCCGGTGTGCAAATTGCATACTAAAGATAGTTCATGAAAGACCATCCACAAATTCCAGGCAAGGATTGGATTCGAATCTGCTCACAAGGATTCCTACCTGATGCTGAGGTAGTACAAAGACAATTTTCTGTTACTTACCCTGCAGAAGCCTTCTTTCATGGTCTGCTTGGGAGGACGTGACTGCATGACATGGAATTTGACAAAGTGAATACTACCAGCTGGATCATTTTGGACTCAAAGAAGCAGCTGCATATGTTGCTCCAAAGCTGGCACCTGTCTTGCAAGTGAGGTGCAATAGTTACTGTTTAACAAGCGAGCAGAAAGCTCCTCAAGATTCCACTTTGACAACCCTTTCACAATAGGATTCTTTTTCTTCTAGGTCAACGCTGATCACTAGAACCTATCATGTTTCCCACCGAGATTCTTATAAAAGCAGCTCTCCTAGTCTGGCACTGTCAAAAGGATGTGTTTGCATTTTTGGAGAAGAAGTATCCACAAAGCCAGTTGAGTGCAACAGATTCAAGGCCACTTGATAAAGGGGTACAAGACCTGAAAACTCACTTGCTTGCATCAAGCAGATGCTCAACAAGGCAAACCTCCAAAGAGCCATTTTGGTCCTGCATTGAGGGTCTTCTCATTTCAACCACTTTTTCAATGCAATCAACTTTTTAGCACTTCCTGCTCTTGAATCTCATGACTATGATGGATCTTCTCTGACCCAGTTGCGACACACGTGAGCTGCTTCGCAAGCACAGAGTGGTCAGAATCAGAACCACCTCTTCGTACCAATAGAAACGGGCGGCATTTGGTCGATTATTAACTCACCTCTCAATTCCCCAGCTCACAATCCTGAAGAAGGAGCGCCTGAGCTGACAATCCTTCTGCGAAAAGGGCTTGCAGGCAGATTGGCAACACTGCGCTGCGTTGAGCACGAGTCACTCCCCAACTTGAAATGATCAACTGATCAGCTTGTGCGCATTGGCTACTGGAGAGTAAACTTCGACTGTAACTGTTCAGTGCCGTCACTTCTGGGGGAAGTCCGCTAACTACCTACGGTAGTGTTGCTCAGTGTTCAAACCATGAAACTGAAGAACACCTACCCGCGAGATTCTGACTCAGCAACAGTGACTCCTCGTTGCTGCATGACCACAAACCTGAAACCATGCACAAAGAACCTTTGCACACCGTCGGTACAACGTCAAAACGCAGATCGGACGGCGTCAGATCAATGAGCGGTTGAAATCGCAACCCCCACCTCCACTTCACGACCGTCGGAGCAACTAGTGCGCACCGGCACGCGCGCGCCCCACGGTCAGCCGGTTCCTCTTACCATTGCGGAGCAGCCGGGAACAATTGACAAGAGCTCAGTTTTGTACGTGGCATTAGTACACATTAGCTAGTCTTCTAGATGTATTCGCTTACTTCTTATCTTAAGAAAAGTGTGCCGCCACGCGTCTTTGAATGATATCATCACAAAGTACAATGACGGTCTAGTAGGTTATCTTATCACGGCAAATGCATCATGACCGATCACGCTGCTGGCCAAGTTATTAGGATATTGAGCGTGCCTCGTCCTCTCTTGCAACTATAGCTAGGGCTGCAATTCTTTCCGAACGCGTGCACCACATCGTACGTGTGAATGAGCGCGATTGAGCAAAAGCAGCAAAAGCTTTATACCTACATGTCTCAACCCTGCAAATGCTCAAAAGGAGGCCTTCTGCTCAGCTCCGGGTGATGCATCAGAAACCGTGACTCTTGCCAGCTTGGCCGCGTTTTGAAGATTGTATGAAAGTCGAATTGCTTAACAGTCGCATGCTGCGTGCGGCCCACTACCAGATTGACTCGTTCACGATCAATTGCATTGACTTCAAGCCTGCCATATGCGTTTCCAATGTCTGTCAATCATATTGATTTGAGGCTGGGGACCTACCACGCAGGCTTCTCAAACTTTGCACAAGACTTTGCAAATCGAAGCAATGGGTATCTCAACGGACCCTTTGAACAAGTAACTCAAGGGTCGATGCGAGACACGGGTTATAAAAAAGGTTTAACATATATCACAAGTATAAACGTGACTAGCATCGCCTACCCTAACACTGGTTGGCTTACACTTGAGCGTTTCTACAGAGCACATGACTGCTTATGACTGCATTTCCGTCTTCTGAGACCACCACTCTCCAATCGGTCAAGACAGCGAAGGCTGACTCCCTGCGATACTCAACAGATATAAAGCTATAACTAAAATTCCGATAGTCTCATCAAAGTGTCGGTCTTTACGCTCAGTATAGTAAGACGTGAGAGCTCCACCACATGCCTGCGCCATTGGCATGTCCAGCGCCTGCATTTTGAAGCCGCCAACTCAAGCATGCGACCTTCTCATTGCCGGAATGCCATCCGCGGTCAAAGGCCCTGAAAAATAATCCCTTGCGGTGCGCACAGGCGGCGGCGGACTCTCGGCCTTGTCGTCGGTAGCCAAATCCAGCTCGAGCGGCCCCCGAATATTGTACATAGCAGCTGCGGCGCCGATGTAGCGAGCGCGCGCAGACCGGATCCGCTGGGGAGTCACTCCTCGGTCGGAACCAGAGGCCCCGCCAAACGCGAGGGCCTGCATTCGCTCTCGCTCTTCCCGGGTGAGAGTGCTGCCGTACCCAATGGCTACGGCGTTCTCGCGTTCCTGCTTTGTGAGGACTCCGCTGTGGTATGCTGCACAGAGAAGAAGGGGAAATGTCAACAGGGAGAGGTCGATAGGAGGGCGGATCGGCGGAATGTTGCCTTCCAACGTTCATACGACAGGTCATCTTGTCAACTCGACGTGTGATTATGCAGACGGATTGTTACTAGAAACAGGACGGACGACAAAAATGGGTCCAACCGACAACACACTTACCAGGGAGACTTCAGGCTGACAGTGATCAGGATCTTAAATGTTCAAGAAGATTACACCAATGGTCTCCATTCTCAAAGCAAGGCTCACAATGTTCCTTAGAAACAACGCCAACTCGCTCCTTATCTCAAATGCTTATTCGCCTTCAAGCAACGTGTACTTACCACAGAGACATCCCTCCCAGCCGCCGGCAATCACTCAGGCCCGACAAACAAAACCATTTCTGCACAATGCAGTGAACGATATAAAATGACCGAAAAGAGGCCACTCACTCATCGACGCACTCTTCCGCGACATCCCGGTCGCCCAGTCGGCCATCCGGGGCAGGCGCTCGGGGGTCGGGTCGCGCTCGCGCAGCTGCACGGGGGACTCGGACCGGGTTGGCTGCAGCACATTCACCCGGGGCGAGTACCCGGTATTCCCGGAGTTTTGACGGCTCAAGGCCGGGGAAGCCGGTCGGGAGAGTCCCCCAAACTGCTCGAGATTGTCGCGAGACGACGACCGGTAGAGCGGAGCGGGGGATGCGGGGCGGGAGAGAGTGGCTTGGTCGAGGTTGTCCCGGGAGGAGGAGCGGTAGAGGGAGGGGGAGGGGGGCCGGCCGTACTCGTCGCCGGTCAACCGTCCGCTTCCTGTAACAAGCGTCGCGGATATGCCAGGATTGAGCTCCGAGTTGGTAAAGATTGTGCGGGAAAAAGCAGGGCTCAGCCGGGCCAGTTGTCTTTCAAGAACGCGGGAAGATTGGTAACCCATTCAGAAACCCTTCTCCTCTGTACATCCTGGCCTGTCATCCAAAGAAAGACGGAGCGCGTACTGTTGAAACGTGATGGTAATACCTGGTCGAAGTGGCAAGAAGACCGTTGCTCAACCAATTGCCTGAGGAGGTTCTTGGGTCAGGCCTTGATACAACTTGCTTTTCTACGACACGAGTGCCACTCGACCCAGATTGTTCCTCAAAAAGCTCTTCCGCCCTTTCTATCGAGGCAGCTTGTCAGGTTTCGCTCCTGCTAAAACCAGGCTAAACCAAACTTATGTCGAAGCGAATCAAAAACCAAGCCTGGGCCAGATTGGAACCTGCCCTTTCCTCGTGGAAGCAATTCAACATCCAAGCACCAAATCCTTCCGCACCTGTCCGGACCAGCGTCTTGGCGACCGGCTCGTAGATCTCCTGCCGCCCGCTCCCCGTCGGCGTCCGCGCCAGCCGCTGCTGCGGTTGCACCTTGTCCGTATCGACCAGCTTGTCCACCTTGAGCGTCCAGGGCAGCGACAGCCCCGCCCGGCGCGACCCCAACCCAGTCCCCCCTCGGGCCGCGGCCGTTGCCGCTTCCGCATAGTCTTTAGTGGGGTTGTTCGTCGGGGTCGTGTGCGGGCGTTTCGGAGCGCTTGCGGCCCGGACCTCCTGGTCGGCGCGACCGCCGGGCACGGGGCTCTGCGCGCGCCGGCCCCGGCCTGCGGGGCTGAAGACCCGCTCAGTCGACGTGGGTCGCGGCTGCGATGCTGCGCGGCTCGTGTCAGAAGCCTCCTCGGACGTCCGCACACGTTCAGAAACGCTTGCAACGAGGTCGGACGCGCTTCGGACGCTCTCGGACGCCGGTTGGACGCCGTTGGCCGCCGTTCGGACGCCGTCGGGCGCCGTTCGGACGGCATCGGACGGCTCCGGGGCGATCTCGAGCCCCTCTCGCGACCGGCGGGGGCCAGGACTGGGGCTGCGCTGGCGGGAACGGGACCCTTTACGGAAGGGGCTGGCGCTGCGGAAGCGGCCACCCTTGCGGAAAGGACTCGCGCTGCGCCGGAAGAGCCCGGGGGCCTTCTCGGAGGGGCTTTCCAGAGGGGGGGGAGCGAAGACCGGGGGGCGGACGACAGCAGGGGTGGTGCACTTGAGAGAGGTGGTCGGGGTGACCAGGACCGGGGTTTGGCCCGCGTGCGTAATCTGCCAAAGAAGAGATGGAGGTCAGTATATTCAATCAACGAAGTTTTTGAAAGGACACCCACCAGCAGTTAAGAGTGAGGGCGCCTTGAGAAGGACGCATTTGCAGTGGGGTTGAGAGGATCTTGACGCTGGTTCGTCTGAAAGTATTGGTCGGTCTTCATTGTGTTTGTCCAGACAGGCGCTGCAAGGCAGACAAGAAAGCGGAATCCGGTTTGCAATTGCCCCAATATGGAATACCCATGCACCATGTATGAGAAGCTGCCAAGTATGAACTGAGACACCTGTTACTCTGGTGCCGCCAGCTGGTAGACGAGCTCCAAAGCTTGAACGAAAGCGGGCTGTCTGAGACCTCAAGACCATACTGAATGAAAGGGAGGGAAGTCATACTTGGATGACTGCGGGATCCGTCATACTCTCGCCCGCCAGTGGCTGCACCCATGCCTCTGAATCCAGCCGCAGCTTCACGTGGTCCACCTCCGCATTCCCAAACAGCTCAAGCCGCACCGCGTTTGTCTGCAACATGAAGAGAATCAACAGTCGCTTTGATGATACTGCTGGAAAGCTTGGGTTGACACCAATCGTTACGACACTAGTTCGACTTGGGTTGGAACCAAGTACATAAGGGGAAGTACAGAGGATGTAATGCTTGAATTTTTTTGGTTACTACGCAGATAGGAACCCGTCACTTGACAGAGGTTGCTGGTGACGTTGTCTGAGAGCCGAAGCCACACGTCGAATGAGGAGCAGATGATTTGAAAACCGCCCACAGCCAGGTTTGAGCCTAAACCATGACTGACTTGACTGCAGGAGTTCGTACGCTTGCTAGGCACTGCTCGTCAGATTCCAAGAAACGGAGCAAAATTCCGGGGCCTCACCTGGGCCAGGCAGATCTCGGTGTCGGACCCCTCCTGAATCCCCACAATCTCGATGAGGCCGTCGTCCGCATAAGCATCCGCAACGCTTTTCTGCAGAGGAAAGAGATGCTATCATCAGCGTACACTTAGTGCTCTAACCTCCGTGCCCCTGAAGTTCAATCAAGTGTGAGGCTTCGCCAAGAATTCTTTGTATATACATGAGCATGATCCGGGCTTGCGCGTGAGTGGTGCCTTAGAAAACGCTTTCGCCCACTGAAAACGGCACACTAACGTGAACCTCGTTGGGTTGAACAGTTTGCCCCTGTGTTGAAGCACATGCACGGCTCCGGCCTCTCTCCACTGAAGCGGGGGAGGAAAGGCAAGAAGCAAGACGAGCCCACATCCACGCTCAAAGTTCCAATCACAAGTGGAAAGTAGAAGAGGAAAGGGAGAAACCGAAAGGGGAGACATTTCCCCTGCCGCTTCCGCTCTTTGCCTCGCATCGAGCATAGATACTGCATCAATGCCCAAGACCTCTCGACCACCAAGGCAAGCAAGGGCGAGGGAAGTAAGATGGAACCGCTTTTAGGTGTTCAGTTCCACACAATCCAGCGAAGTACGCAAAGCGATGGAACGGCTTTTAGCTGTTCAGTTCCACAAATTCAGCGGAGTTCACAAAGCGAGAGAAAAGAAGAGAAGCCCACCTCGAGCGTCTTCATCTTGCGCCGCGCATCGGCAAGGTTCAGAAACTCGAGCGACCGGATCTGGGGCGACAGCTCCAGGTAACTCCAGATGCCGTTCTGAATGATCTCTAGCCGCCCCACGTTTTGGCTGCGGCTGCACAACAAGCACACCAGAATATTCATGAAAGTGCACTGATACTCAGAAATATTCAGAATACAGGACGTCCATATCGTAAAGTGCGAACAACCTCCGGATGCTATGGTACTCTTCCCCTCAAAAGCACTCTACGGAAACGACGTCCGTATCCGATAGTGCTCTTTCTTCGGAAGGCGCAAATACCTTTTCGCGCTACCAGACTATTCGAATTGTGAGCAGGGATGATCGACTTCGGGCAGCCTAGGATCTGGCTGCTAACGATAACAAGCGCGCCTGGAAAAACTCTTGAGTCCTCTTATCAGGAAAGCCGAAGTGGTGAATTGAAAAGTGCAAGTGAACTATTGAGTACCGAGGTATAGACTGGTAAAATGGGAGTAGACGTTGGGGTTCAATATCTGTGGGTGTTAATCCCAAGCCGCTCAAAAATCAAGGGACGCGATCAAGACCATCTTCGATGACTGGAGAGGTGAACGTTGCACATGAAGCTCTCTACTCTCAAACCCTCCATTCATATGACTTTGCTGATTGTGAAATATATCCGTCCTCCAAGCTCTCTACTCTCCACAACTAGAACGAGTCTTCTGAGTGTGAGCAAAGTTCGTCCTCCGAACGCAAAAACCGATGCAGAGAGCCGCTTACATGACCAGAGGCTCGTTGGAGCACGCTCCACAAAACCAGCCGGCGGCCTTCCGTTGCGGGACCCTCGAGTTGCCTCCGGCCTCAGAAGACCGCACGTAGCCCATGTCTGTCGCACAGGAGAATGCGACGAGGATGTCAATATACACCGTCACTACCCTAGGACGAATTCCCTCATAAGAGTACATCAAGTATCGAACATTGCGATGACCACAACTGCCGTCGAGCCTACGACGGCCGCGTTGATTCGACTTCGCTGTACTCAAAAGAGGTGACAAATATGCCGTTGAAGCTTCAGAACAGCAGAAAGATTTCCAGTCGCCTGTGAGTTTTGCGAGAGTGCTGGAAGCGTTGTTGCATAATGCGGGTATGTTCTTTGCACCTTCTCTCGAGCAAAACAACAGTCAATGCATACATGTAAGCAACGGACCTCTAATTGTAATCAAAAACACCTAAGGGCCCAATCTTTGACTACTCTCGACACAGGGGATTCACCCGAAACTGTATAAAATGCTTTCGTTCGTAAATGGAGAACGACCCGGACACAGACCAACCGGTAAAAAGCACTGGGTTCTCACCAAGGTGGAGCGAGCCAAAGCAAAGCCCCTGGTGTGAAATCACCCAGTCACTCTTCCCCCCCTCCACGGGAATGGTCTTCAGAGATGCCGGGAGATTGCTCGCGGTGCGCTTCCGGTGGGTGGTTAGCTTAACCTCCCAGCTGGATAAGTAGATGGCGGTGGGTTGTTAGCTTAACCTCTTGGTTTGATAAGCAAACGAAAATCGGGGACACAGCATTAGTAAGGGAGGTCAGCTATCGTCCTCTTATCTCGTTTCGACCAGAAGAACGAAGCAAAGAAAGGATGGTTTGTTGAAAGTGATGGGGGAGCAAGTGAAGCTGGACTGCTGATAGTTGATGCAGTGATACAACAGCTAAAGCAATCAGCGTTCTTGTAGCCTGCTCAGGAACACTTTCACGACGATCGACTTCTTCAATGCCTCAGCCGGAGACGTCGACAATATCAGAGGTGATCTGGCATTCGAGTGGCAAGAAGACGTTCAGGGCGTGGGAGGAAAAGGCAGAAAAGGGATTGCACTACTGCTTGACAGACACTCTCAGCGACCGCTCACCAGTCTAGTATCTGCGTCCCGGCATCCGCCAGTTGCACGAGTAGGTCCATGGCCGACTGCCGAGAGGCTTCCACTGCACTTTGACTCTGCAATAGAGAGAGCTTCTGATTATTGTGCTGGATGATTTGATAGACTTCTTCTTTACAATTGGTAAGTGGAATTCTGCTTATTCCGATCGGAGGACAAACGAGAGACCTTGACAGTTCTTGGAAAGGTCTCCGACGTGCCTGGCTACTTGGTAGCCTTTTACTTCACACACCTTTGACTGTACGCCTAAAGGTACGAGGGTCTCCAGCGGAGTTTCAAGCAATTGGGAGTCCCGAAAGCTTCACAGCCCAGATCGTTTCACCCATGAAGATGTGTTAGCAAACGGCTCACCAGGCCCAGTGCTTGTGCCAGGCTGCTTCGGCCACTGGCTGGGATGCACCCCACCGGAATGCTCTTCCCCGCCGTCGATTCTTGCAGGGCCGACGACACTGATTTGAAGAGTGCATCTTCTCCCACAACCTGTAAGGAAGAGGCAATGGAACCGAGTCTTGATAAACGCCATTTTCGGCTTTTCCGATAGAGAGCTTTGCTAAACCAGAGGAGGATCATCCCTCCTCGCAGCACTAATCCTGAAAGGCCACGCCAAGGGGGACTCTCAAATCGGCACTGGTTCACTGAGAAGCATGTCCAGGGTCTTCCACTTTATTCTGTTGGTTCTTTCCCGGGCTTATTACATACGACCAGAAGACACCAGACATGGATTCCGCATTGGCGATATTTAGCCTCACCCTACAACCTCTTGAAGATAAAAAGAGGGCCAGCACTGGCAAAGAGAGAGAAGTTGAGTACTGGAAGCATTACATTGCCACCAAAGTTGAAACTTGAAGGCTTCGAAGAAGCTATCCAAACGAGCTGCAAGAAACCGGGGGATGACTCACAAGGACCCGGAGGTTATCTTTTACCACCGCAGCGACCGTGTCTCCCTTGTGCGACAGCTCGGTCAGCTTCGGGAGGAGCGCTCCCAAGAAGTCTGCTGCAGAGAGATGCGCCGTGTCGAATACCTGCACACACGAGTGTTCCGTACACTGGTCTAAAGAACAACCAAGGGGAATTTGAACAAGGAGGGCTTCTTGTGAAGGTAAGGCAGTGGTAGAGAACAAAATGTAAACAAGGCGACTCTTGTTAGTTATCAAAACAATGACAGGGGTTACCTGCAAGAGTCTGCAGAGCCGGGAGCCGGGAGATTTTAAGAAATACAGTATGTCAAGCACCTCACCCTCCTACAAAAGAACAAACACCTGATGTTCGATGTAGGATGTCTAGTCAATCTGCAGACTGAACATTGTGCCGAATCTTGCCGAACGAAACCAGAGCCAATTGACCACTTATACCTGCCTGAAATGGGTCGGAATGAGCCCCACTAATTATGCAAGATAAGTCTAACCTAGCGGACATGACTGACGCTATGCCCTTATAACCCATTTTAATAAACCAATCATTGGAACAAGTTGTCAGCAAAAGCTTAAAAGTCAAATTCCTCAACTGAGCTTCTTCACAATAACCTGATGGTGCCTAGTTTGAACTAACGGAGGTTTTGAGATCATCTTCCACACACTTCAAGCGGATGGTTGCTCTATTTGCGAACTTTCTTCCAGAATCAATATGTACGGTAAGCCGCAACAACTGTCCTTATGAGATTCAGCCATTTCCTGAAAATAAACCGTCACAAAGAATCGCCTCAACAAATGCAGCCGTGTCCCGGCACCCTAGATAATACTTCAGCACTTAGAAAAACAACTCTCCACACAATAATCAAAAGATCTGGGGGTACGGTTGCAGACCTCAGTTCGTCTAGAAATCTCTCACGAGAGCCCTACCTGGCCCGCCCCCAGAATCGCGCTCAACTCTCGCCGCAGATCGCCTTCCCCAGTTTGGCTGTCAACAAACACGATCATGGGGCTCGCCGGGGGGGTCTCCACTCCCTCCAGCTCCAAGCCTCTTTCCCCCTTCTCAGCCCCCCCAGGAAGCAGGTACTTCGGTATGCGGAAAGCAGAAGCCTTATCCTCCGCCGACACTGTTCCGGACACATTCCCCCCGCCTACCGCCTCTTCTGCCCCTTCCGTCGCAATCTGCTTGTAACTGAGCTTTCGCAGCAAGCCCCCCATTTTCCCGCTCCCCTGCTGTGCAACTCCAGGCTGTGTCCTGGTGTCAACTCCAGCACTGTGAGAATCAGGAGTCTCGGCACTGACGCCGGCCGCGGCGGCGTTGTGTTCCCCGCTTCCGATGGGGACGCTTCGCGGCAGGGTGAACGTTTCGAGGACGGGGACTCCGCCGTCTGCCCTTACCGTGGAAGGGGGTGCAGTTTCCCCTGCGTCCGGCGCCCCCGGGATGAGCTTCTTCAGCAGACTACGGAAGCGGCCACTGTCCGCCCTAGCAACCTGGGGCGCGGGAGCCTCAATGCTGACTTCAGCATGACGGTCCTGACCGGTAGGCCGGTCATTACTGGTTTCGCCACCCACCCAGCTTATTACCGAGTCCCCGTCCTCCAAGTCCTTGCTAGGCGCCTCCGAGGGAAGTTCCTCGCCAGGCAGCTCACCCCCCCGGTCGTCAGCGGCCCCGCCCTTGCCCCGGGTAAAACTTAGGGTTCTTTTCAACAAACCTCCAACCTTAGAGAAGCGCCCGCTCCCCTGCCGGGCAACTGCAGGGCCGCCCGTGTCAACTATGGGAGCCTGCGTATCACCGTCAGTTTCTTTGACACCGCCGTCAGTCCCTTGCTGCACATCAGTCCCAGCTTGCACCGCAATAATATGCTTTGTTTCTGTGGGGGGATCCATGTGGCCCTGCAGAGAATCTGGCGCCTCCACAATGCTGTGCTCCCCGCTGCTAAATGCTGGCTTCTCGACCATGGCAACACCAGCCGTTGGAACCACCTCGGTGACATCAGCAACACTTGCAGTGGAGTCCCCAGAGACAGCCCCAGTTGCTCTCATGTCCACATTCTTGGCGCTCTCCATAATAGCAGGCTCCTCCGCTGATGGCTCAACCTCTTTCGGTGTCTGCGGCTTTGTCTCTGCTGTTGACATCCCCAGACTAAAGCCACCTTGTTCCGCTCCTGAGCTATGCAGGTTGGGGGTTTGTTCAGGTTCTAGAAGATATTGTTCCCCATCTGCATTCCACCTTACTGCCTTTTCTTCAGAACTTTCACCTGGAGCGTCTCCCCGATCCGCAATCGGCACTGGCAAACTCTGTCCTGCTACTCCTTTCACTTCTGGCTCAGAAGCAGACTCATCCACCATTGGCGCACTGCTGACCGCCACATCTTTCTCCTTGGAAGTCCCATTGGGATGACTCCCAGTTACAAGGCCCACCAGAGTTTGCAGGAAGGGGGTTGTGGGAGTTGTTCCCCCAGAAGATGACTGCAATGTGCTCTGTGGTGACTTCGGTGGCACCTTTCCATTGAGCCGTTGTTCAGAAGCGAAGGGAGGCCTTGTACCCACGGGCACCTCAGAGGCTGTTGCTTCATTCTGAGGGCCGATCGGAGCCACACTCTTCTGCCCGCCTTCCTCCGCACCTCTGCCAGAATCCAGATCTAGCTTGAACGACTTTCTCTGCAAAAGTGCAGAGACGTCTACAAACCCTGCCATGATGACGTCTTTCTAAATCTGTTGCGGTAGTGAAACACCTAAGTCCCTCAAAATCAAATAAATTCTCCTACGGCTGGCAAATAAAAGCCAGCAACTGGAGATTCGAGGGGACCTTGAGCACCACCCTCCGCTACCATGGCGGGCAACCGGTGAGCTTTGCAAGAGCTCCTTGAAGTTGCGGGCGTCAAATTTCCCAGGGCCTGCCGCCAAGATGCACAACTCGGGCAGCTGACTTTTTATCGTCCTGCTCATGAGCCACTTGAATGAGCCACTTGAATGATGCATTGGCGATCTTGGCAGGAAAGCTCCGACTACCTAGCAACATGCAGATGGGTCTACGTACGGTATTGCGCAGCCTGGGTCGGGTTCACATTGGACTTTCTCAAAACTTTTATCGTGATTCGATAGCTAGACTTGCGTCACTCGGCGTCACCCCGCCAGAGTCGGCGAGCTAACGGTCAATTCTTCGAACTTCAAAAGTTATCGAAGTCGAAAACCTACTCAAATCCGGGAGGCTATCGAAACGCGGTTTGGAATCTGGATAGCCCAATCACGATAAGTACAGGTTGGATATCGTCACGCCTCAGCCTTTGCTGACGGTTTTGTGTACATAGTGTACTCAATACGATTCACGTGGTCAGTCACATGGCTCCAGACGAGAGTTTTGAATTACGAGACGTATTTCGACGGACCCAACTGCAATGTGAACCCAGTCTGGCTATCGTAATCCGAAACTGCTAAAACGTCAGCATGGGTACTTCCAATTGCGAATCATGGCAGACCGAATTAGGGCAAAAAGTCCAATGTGAACCCGACCCTGGCCCTGACCAAGCAACTAACCAAGTGATTGTTGGCATAATTGTGACCAGTGAGAACCTGACACGTGTCCCCCCGAACAAATATTCCGGAACTTCCTTCAATTCGCTTGAGGTTCGAGCCCAGTCAGGGACAGGGGATACCGTTACCAAGCAGACCGTTCCCATCGCAGGACTTCGATAAAAGAACGTTGTCGTTTGAGATTGATTTGTTCCAGCTGAGTCTCCAAAGTTTCAATGGTTACCTCTGGTATTTTTAAGCGGTCAGCGTTTAGACCTCCTGCTAAGGGTTGACAGAGCTAAAAGCGGCCGGGCTTTAGGGAGCTGCAGGGCAGCTTGGTGTGGCTCAGGGCTTTCAGGTTGCCCGGCAAGTTGGCACAGGAATTGGCATTCTGCGGACTGCTGTAGTGGCGCATCTCTGAAGCGCGTCTGAGGATCTTGTGAACGTAAGTTGCTTATCTGGTTGCCTCTATGTGCCCTCATAATATAGAACAATGTGTCAGGCAGAGGTTGGCTCTGCCGCTTTTGGACCAGCTTGAAGAACGCAACTGAGCGACTCAGTCTGAAGAAGGTGGATGCCGTTTTAAGGGTTGTTCCTCTGGTGTTTGTAAGTCTGCACTGGTGAGAGTTGCATACGTAGTAAAGGTGCAAACGCCTCGTGATTGTGCATCTGGATGTTTGTTGAGACAAATTACTATTCAGTCTCCTATATTCCTCTTGGTTTTGTAGGGGCAGGAAAGCTGGTCCTTGCACTGTCTCATCATGGCTAGAGGCCGGCCTCATGGCCGGTCCAAGTCCGATCACAGAGTCTGTCAGGAGGCTCGTCATGCACGCGCCGCTGAGTACAGGGAGAGAATCGCCATCAGTGCTGAGCAGCAGGAGGCACGCATCGCTGCTGTGAATGCTAAGTGCAACATCGAGGATGCCCCTCGTAGGCGGCGGGGGCAGAAGTCGAGGGCGCCGAAGACCAAGGCACGGGCGGCTCGGATGTTCACAGGGGGCCGTGCTTGCAAAGGGTCTGGCAGTGTAAAGAAGAAAGCAAAGAAGGGCCTCGAACATTCGCTTGGCAAAGCTGCAGAAAGAGGTGAGTTCTGGTGCATGGCTTCTCTGATTGGTTTACCTTGTGAGGCCGAGGCAGAGCAGAAGCTTGAATGCTCTGTGCTGCAAGATAGAAAGGTGACTGGTGGGCTGGCCTTGCAATGTGTACCAGGAAATCTTCAGATAATGAAAGGAATTAAGTTCGAAAACACTACTTTTGGTAGTGGGGTCAGAATGGTGAAGGGTGGCTGGCTCTGCAGTTTATCACAAGATTCTGAGGAGTCTTAGCGGGCATGGTTGTCCCTGGGACGTACCATACTTCTTTTTCTTTAGAAGATATGAGGCTGATTCTTGATACCTGCTGTCAATCACAAACCTCCAAACCCACTGCCAGAAGAAAGAGACATGACTTGCAAAAGGAAGGGGCACGCACCAAGTCTTGCATGCTTTTCACATCTATGCTCCAGGTTCATGACCAAACCTCTGCGCTTCTTCATTGCAGACTTGCACAGTCTCCACTGCCATGCATGCGGAGCCTCTGCAGACTTCGGGCTGAGGGGAAGCAAGGAGGGGGGCAGCGTGAAGTACTCGTGCAGAGCTCATGCCACTTCCAATGGTTTCTTTCGAGTTGACCGAGACCGCGCAGGTGAGGGCATTTGGGGAGCCTGCTGTTGACACGGTCTAGGTCTCATGCAAAGCTCATAGCTGCTTCTTCAGTGGTCAGCAAGGAGCCTTTGAAAAGACTGTCAAGAATTTACATGCTTTTGTATACTCTTGCAGCATGGGCAGAGGATACAGAGATGCGCCACCTGAGAGCAAAGGAGAGGAGTTTAGAAGAGGAGCTGCGTAACCTGGACGGAACCTCACCTGCTGCAAAATGGACATCAGGTGAGCGAGTGGCGCAATTTGACTCAGTCGGTTGTCCTCTTATGCACATTTAAGGGCAGCCCATTCTTTGTCACGCCTCTTATGCGTTATACCCTCTTCTGCTGTGCATTCTACACTTCGATCAATAGTGACGGCAACTTAATGTCACTCTTTATGGTTGCAGTCTGGAGTGGATCCCAAAGTGAGAGGTTTTGGGCAGATGCACCCAGCGCACCACCGTTTGCAGCTTGGCAGCAGTCCGACAGTATGACGGACTGGGTGTCCATGCCCCAGAGCCGGTCACTTATAGGTAAGGAACTTGGATCGTGGCTCTGGGTCTGCAAGCATTTAAAGAGCACTCGGGTTCAGTATGCAATTGGCTGTGGACCACTTCGGTCTTGACCTGCCGTGATGGTTCCCTTGACTTGCTTGGGGGTTGCTCATCGGTGCAGGATGAAAGCTGCGTCAGACTTTCAGCCCCTGATCGGTTCAGGATGAAAGCTGCGTCAGACCTTCAACACCTGTTTGTGGTCTCCTTATGTGCAGCGACTCTTCTCCTTAGGGGTGGCGTGGAAAGCAACCCTGGGCCCACTTCGCAGGAGGTGAGTCTGGACAAGGGAATCCCCGCAGTTCAGGATGGGACTGGTCAGCGCTGGTTGTATTCAGGCATCAGGGAGCAGCTTTGTGGCATTTCTTATTAGTGTCCATGCCGCTAAAGAGTGGGCTGCACATTGTGGTGCACATCTTTGTTGTCGCCCAACTACAGGAGAAAGAGCTGGCTTTGAAGAAGAGCTGGCAGGAAGTCGACTCCGACATTGACTCCGACCTGCTGAACCACCTGGCAAAGCAGCAGCTCACCTTGGAACGCTGGAGAGGGATGACTGATGATGGCCGCTCTAAGCTTCTTGACCGACTTGAACGCGAGTATCCAGGGCCAGGGAACTGGTTGTTGGGCTGGAATGCAATTTTCGATAAAGCTGCAGGTAAGCAGCTCCTTCTGTGAGATGATTAGGCTAGCTAGTAGGCTAGTCTGTTTGGATATCAGGACTAGAGGTTTTCATCAATTTGGAAAGGACGGAAACGAGCTTCCTGGTGTTGCTGGTCAGCATGTAGCGGCGGGGAGGCTTGGAGATGATGGCATGAGAGGGGACTTTGCTGATCAGAAGGTGTTGGCAGGTGATATAGTTGCTCCCTTCGCCAACTATGCCGAGGACAGTAGTGCATGCTAGGCATGGAGTGTTTCTTACTATGTATTGGGTTTGCAAGCCCAAAAGACGGCTTCCAGCACTTGCAGCCGTTTCTGAATGTTCAGGTCGGATCATTGTCCATGATACTGAATATGGTCGAGCTCTCTTGTTAGTTGCTCGTTTGGTGGACATTTGCAGGCGCCGCTGAAGCCGCTCAGCTTGGAGTCGGTGCTACCCAGGCTGTGCAGAAACAGGTTGAGTCCCTGCAGAAAATGGTCGAGTCCCACACTTTACGGATGCGGCAGCTGGAAATGCGCAACAACAAAAGTATGCAAACAACCTGGATCGAGACAGATGTTGGACAGGTGTGGCCAGCGTGTCCTTTCATCAAGTTGGCCATGTTGTTCCTGCTTCAAGAAGTATCTCAGATTGCAAATGTTTGCCCATGGGGCTCTGGATCCTTATTGCAGGTTTTGGCGTGCTTTGCAGGCACTGCATGATCTGTTGTTGTTTCACTATTGCTGCTCTACTCCCGCAAAGTCGATACTTGACCAGGCCTGTTCTAGCTTCTGGTTTGCAAGCCGACTGTCTGCTTATGCTGTTTCTACAGCTCTGCCATTTGAGTCGGTAGCAATGCGGACCGAAGCTCTCTTTAAAAGCCACTCTAACTATGAGGTGCTTTCAGCCTCCTTCTAAAGTTGATTATGACGGAAGAGCTCTCTGTGTTCAAACTGCGTTTACTTTGTACAGATGCATTATCAGCTTGCGGAGGTGGTTCAGGAGATGCGGTGCCTCGCTCATGTATCCAAGAAGATGGTGAAGACTGCCGTCAACGAAGTCTTGAAAAACTTCCCCACTGCAGTAGCTGAGGGTGCGGTCTATAAGAGGCAAAGTAAGTGATGGCTCGTTGACCTATTAACAACGTTCCATTGCACTGTCGCAGTCTCTTTGCAACTTGAGGATTGCAATTGTTTACAATTCTGGATGCTTACAATGCTAGGCTGTCTTGCAAGCAGCGAAGAAGCAGCTGGATGCTCCTGGGTAAGCTCTTAGGGATTTTTCATGAGTTGCTTGTTCAACTCTGGTCCTCATCGTTATTTGCATCGTTGAGAAAATGCTTTTCAACAATGTCCTCCTCCTCCTCTTCTTGCGAAAATGCAGAGCAACTGTCTGCTGGCGAAAAGCGGAGACGCGACGAAGCAGGTCAGGCCGTTGACGTGGACAATGAAGATGATCAGCCAAACCCAGAGTTGAAGCTTCCGACAGGTCTTCCAGGCCTCTCGCTTGCTGATGCAATTCCGGAAGCTAAAGAACCAGGACTGTCAGAAGAAAAGCACATGCAGCCTGTTCTCATGACCATCTTAGGAGCCATGGCG